AAGCTCTGCCTACATGCAGCCCTGTACGACGTCTGTCATGGGGTATATAAAGCATCCATTCAAAGTTTACAGCTTCGACACGTTTGGATTTCTAAATCACAGCCAGAGGGGCGCTGCCTCTGCGACGGTGCAGAGATGGGTGTGCGCTTCGCTTGGTTCACAGTTACCAGATGCGCTTTCGGAGAGTCCCACTCTTAGAATATTTCAGAACCTTCCGCACTTGCAGTACAGCTGCAGCTGGCAAATGGCCACCTAATGCCTTGAGGAAGACGGAAAGTAAACTCGCGACTAGCCATCCAAACACTGGCTCGCGCAGCGGACGAGCACTGATTCAAATCCGCGTGGCAGCAAATTCCAAGAAGTAGCAAACTTCTAAACTATGGAAATACCAAACAGAGACCCGGGGCGTTACCAACAAAACAGAGTCAGCTGCTCGCTGCCGCTCCCGAGAGGTGGCGTACACCTTTTAACTTTGCCCCCGTTTCCATGCCTTCCCCCTACTGTATGCTCCTTATTGTGCTGATTTGCAACTCTGTCGTTATTTTTCTGGCTGACGCCCAGCAGTGTCCTGTTTGGCAGTTTCCAGCTTTTTCCCATGGCGCATTGTCTCAGGGCATTGGACTTCATGTTTTGGGGTGTAGCGGTGTCTCGCGTCTCTTGTCTCCTAGTACTGAAGTTGATGTAATTTTTCTACTGGTTTCTACCAACATATGGCTCCAGTATCTGGTTGCCACCTGATGCGGCCCGTCAGTGTGCCCTATCACGTATTTCCTTTTCGTTCGCTTGCGTGAAGGCTGCCTGGTCGTTCAAGAGCGTGCTTGCTACTCTTGCTTTCTTCCTCTTTGTTTTTCAGCTTCTTGCTTCGGACTCTCTACAGAAGGTCTGTGAGCGCCTTCGGGTGCCGTGTACGCCGAAGTCACCCCAATGCCTCTACCACCTTTCTGCTGCTTGTCTTGTTACGCTACCCCTTGCGCGACATCCACAAACAATTAAGAAGCGTTGAAGAAAGCAAAATCAACAGAGAGAGGCTTGTAGGAGCAGTAAGGCGGGGTGAGGGAGAACTCGGGTGCCTCCGGCAACACGCGGGGTGCCCCAGTGGCCTTACCGTTCCCCTCAATACACGATGCTTTCCTTTCATTACAGACCAGATCTGATACGGCAAAACTATGGATTTGGCTTTAGGTTCTAAAGAGCAAAAATATGAAGCAACTATATTAGAGGGCCGAAAGTTTTGCTCTTTAGCCATTGCTTCTCCGCGCCCGGCCCGCCGCCTGGGTCACCTCCCCCTTTTTTCCTAGCAACACTCAAGTCTCACCACACCGTCTCCCCAAAAGCTTCCCAGAGTTTTGCCCCTCTTGTGATCCGCCTTAACAAATATTCAGAAGAGGTCTGTAAACGCACAAGCATCGGAAGGGCGGCAGGGCCGTAACAGCCCACTGTTGCTATTGCGGCTTGTCTGACCGCCTCCAACATTATGGCATGATAAAAATTTGAAAATAGCCTCCCAACTGGAGGGTTGAGAGGGCGGGAAGGGGCATAATGCAGCAGCAACAGCGATTGTAGCTGCTGAGGCACTCTGAGGTGTTGTTGAATGCCAGAACCAGAAGCAGAAGCCTTGAAGGCAGCTCCACGCCTGGCAGGGGCGATGAGTGCTGCATCGCTATCGGCGCCGTCACTGCAGCAGGGCACCCCTCAGATGGCCGTCTGTATGTACACAGGGAGTCCTCGGGTCCTACCCCGTCTGCCATCTGAGTTCTCTCTCGGGAGACACCTGCTGCAACTTCGCGATACAGGGAGGCCTCCAAGGAGGCTTCCGCCGCAGAAGGTGCTCCTGCTGCAGCAGGTGCTACTGCGCAGCAGCAGCCACCGGAAAAGAAGCCGTAACGAAGCTCCAGTCTCCCCTGTTCAGGCATCCCGACCCGAAAGGCACCAAAGCCCGTCTGCTATCCAGGATGAATCCGAGTTCATCCCATTGAGCCTAAGAGATCGCACAGACCCATTTAGTTGTCGCGACAGCAGCCGAAGGAGCATTTCGCCATGCAGCAACACGAATAGCTGCAGCGCCGCTTGCGGGCCGCTTGCTCAAGAGCGCCATCCTACGCAAGGACCCCTGGGAAATGCCGCATTGTTGACGACTGCAGCAGCTGGATCACCAGAAACAGCTTCAAACATAGTGACATCGGCGCTGCAATCAACATCGGGAACAAGCGCGCTTGCGGCAACAGCGGCATCAACCCCTTCAACTATACAGATAACAAGCGGAACGACTGCAGCGGCACTCGCAGCAACGTCCTCAACAGCACCAACCACGCAAACAACATCAGCAGCAACTGCGCAAGCACAAATTTCATCAGGAGGGACAGCAGCCGCAGCACCGACGGCACCGGTGCCAGCAGAAGCTGCAGCACCAACACCTGCAGCATCAGGAGTCACAGCGACGGAAACACACACCGCTGTGCATCGACCTGCAGCCACAGTGGAGCCACAGGAATACGATGAGCTGCGCTCCACTGCATGCCATTGCCTGCACGGACTACAGGGGCACCATGGCACTCCAACAGTATCAGATGGTGAAGCACTAGAAGAAGCGGCGGGAAAAGCGAAATCCGCCGTTGTAGGGGTAGATGCAGCAGCGGCCTTCACAATCGTCACAGAAGCTACCCCACTGGTGAACCCGGCAGCTAGAGTAGTCGGCGTGCAGACTGCAGCAGTAGGGGTCAATGCAAACACACCCATTGCCCCCTTAGTGCCAGCTGCAATACCAACGCTAGCAGCATGCAGTTACCGGCCGCCACGCAGTAGCAGAGCGGTGTTGCTTTTTCCCATTTGCTGCGGTAAAAGCGTCCCGCTTTCCGAAAGCAGTAACACTGGAGAGATGCTCCCAGACTGCATCCCTCAAAGAGGGGGAGTCGGCGACCAGAGTGGTTTGTTCGACGCCTTTGCTCCTGCCGATTCACATGCAGCAGCATCATGTGCAGCAGCAACACTTGCGGGGAATCGCTCTGCGTCCAAGTCACCTAAGTGCCCCGTCGCTGCCGGCGAGGAGGCAGGCCCTGCCCCCTGCAGTATTCCAGTCTGCAGATTAGCTGTCGCATCGTATGCAGTGTCGGCAGCAGCGATGCACGTTAGAACACCTATTGCAGAAACGAGGAGGAGAGCAGCTCCGGCGGAAAGGCGGCCGAAAACAGCGACAGCAAACTGCGCAGCCGTAAGAGGGGTGGTTCCGCAGCAAGATGCGCCTCTTTTTCTCCAGTACTGTCCCCTCCAGACGCGAAAGGAGGATGTGAAAGGGCCAAATGATGGCATTTGCACAGACGGAAAGCCTGGGGGCTCCTGGAAAAGCCCCCTCCAGGCCGCCACAGCGTCGAAAGCACTGTTGCAACAAGGCCGTAGAGAGCACCGCAAAGGTGTCCAAACAGGCACCAATTTTCGAATGCCAGCTGAAATGGCGACGTCTCTGCCTCCTGAAGCAGCGGTAGCCAAGAGAGCATTCTCCTCAGCGGCGCAGAGGGTGCCCAAACCCAAAGAAAAGCGGTCGGGAGTCTGGCTTCTGCCAAGAATCGATGAGGGTTCTGTCGCATTGAGATCAAGCACGTTGTTAATGGCATCTGGTGGAGCAGCTTACGCAAGCCGTCGAGTGGCTGAAGAATGCATAAAAGAATCGAAGATAAGAGCAGCAACAACGTCAGGAGCAGCCCACCTTGACGATGATTCGGTGAACCCCCATTCAGCACACCTCACTTCTCAGCCTCCTTCTACGGACGTGTCAGCACGGCAAGGACTGAGTGTTGCAACTGCAGACGTCGGAACTTCAGAAACATCAGGGCTCTTAAAGAGGTCTATCCACACTCTGCCCTGTTGGGTGTCGCTACTGCAGCGGCTCCAGCGCCATGCTGCGAAACGTGAGCACCAGTGAACGCTGGCTGCTGTTCCTGCTGCTGCTGTCAATACAGACGTCGGGTGAGGCTGCTGCTGGTGCTGCCGTTTGAGCAGCACACACGGTAGGCAGGGCAACACAGCACTTGCGCTTTAATACTGCACAGCTATGAGAGCAACGCCACGGTTCTCGGCTTTCCTGCTTTGCAGGTCCATCAGGTGTGCAAGCGAAGAGCTCTCAAGGCTACGACAGCAGCAGCGGGAGCAGCAGCAACGCGTTGCAGCATCGGGGGGAGTCTCTTGAGGGTGCCGCACCGCAGAGTCGCCTTCAAGTCTGCAGTCTGTCAGTTCAGCAACAGCCCAAGCCAACCTGTACCCAGAGTTCATTAGGTCTGGCGTCAGTCCCTGATGCCACGCGTGAGCTTGCATAGGGAAAACAAGAAGCAGAAGAAAATCACCTCTACAAACTATTCGCCAAAAACTACGTTTTTGGCAGTACTTCTACTGCGTTTCTAGCGTGTCCCCTAATTGGCCAATCATATCGATGGCCACACATAGGAACTTTCTGTGCTTGCACACACACCCGCATACTGGACGTTATACCGCTATGACGCAGCTAGCTAGGTTGGGTAGTCACCATTAGTAAATTAATGCAGTCCACCAGCCAGTGCAGTTATTAACTGATGGCGCTGAAGCGACCCCTTGCTCGGGGGGGACGCTTGGAAACCCTCAAGAGGAGCTCCACAGGCTGCTGAGAGTCCGTAATTTACTTGTACCTCTTCATCGATTGTCGCTGTGCTGTTTCAGATGCACCTGCAGAGCAAATGCTGCTGCAGGAAGCCCTGGCTGCAATTACGCAAGTGCGGAAGGCGCTGGTGCAGCAGCTCCCTCCAGAGATGCAGGAACACCCAAAGGTCACTATCCGCTCAAAGGGGCTTGTGTTGAAGAGTCGCCGTCTACAGCGTGCAGGCAATTCTTACTATAGTGGACACAGTGCGCGCATTATCCGGCACGCAGCACCCGAGAGTGCATGCGCAGGTCCCCCTACAGAGGAAGCTACGAGCGATGGAAGTCGAGAGGCTGCTGCTCAGCAGCGCAGTCTCCCGGCATGTTCACCTTTAAGCATGAATGCAGCACGATGCCAGAACCAGCGCCGGCAGCACAAGCAGCACCAACAATGGAGAGGCAAGTCGGAGCATCACCAGCAGCAACGTCATGCGACACCAGAAGGCCCTCAAAAAGCCCCTCGCAAGGCAGGAAAGGGGTGCAGCCGCAAAGCAGCAGCTGCTTCTTCTGCTACCCCCTCCACCGCGAACCCTGAGCAGAGCAAATGGATAAATGGCTATTGCACTGCGACACCTAGTACCCCAAAAGTAGTGAAGAAAGCAATTGATGGTGCCCCAGATCTTGCAGGCGCATCAACCTCAAAGGCAACCCAAGGAGCAGCTACCACATGGCGAGGTGATGTTTCCCAACTGCCGTCGCATGCCACCATAATAAAGGCAGCAGATGCTGATGTGCGATCCCAGCAGCTCAGGCGGCTACTGCCGCGGTCATTAGGCGCTGATTCGGAGACTGCCCTGAGTTACCGTTGCAAAAAGCGTAGCCGCCGATACCAATCTGTACCTACTCCTCGGCGGACTGCTGGCAGCAGCGGCACTGGCAGCAGTAGTGGGTGCACGATTTTAGCAGTCGAGCAGAACACCACACTGGCGTCGCTTACAAGGCAGCAGCGTCCCGTATCTGCAAGGACGAGAGATCAAGGAGTTGCCGCTGTTGCTTCTAAAGCTGAAGCAACCCTTCCCGAAGGGTTTCTAAAAGCGCAGCAGCAACAGCAGCAGCACCCGCAACAGCAACCACAGCACATACAGCGGGTTTCTGGAAGGATAGGGCAACGGGATACAGTCTGCGCTGATGTGCTCCACAAGAAGCGACAGGAGAAATATGAAGAAACCCTTGCCACGATGAGGGCTCAGTTGCAACAGCTTCAAAAGCAGCAGATGCAATTGCAATCCCAGTTGCAACCCCCATGGAACAGTAACACTGCTATTGCAGCAGCGACAGCCACAGTTACAGCGCGTCAGCAGCCTCTACACACTGCAGCAAAGCTTCCGGCGGCAACAGTAGCAGCCATCTCGGCACGGTGAGCTGAATGTGCGGCCGCAGGGGCAGCTACTTTGCACACAACCCAGCACCTGCTCACTCTTGACTCTATCAGATTTCTGGAAGTGGTGCTTATCGCTTGCTACTGCTGCTGCAGTTTGCTCCGCTGATGCTGCCAATGTGCTTCCCTGCGCGCAGGCTCTATGGAAGGGCTAAGCAGATGAAGGAGATGCGCCTCCTGAAGCAGCAACTGCATGAGCAGCAGCAGCGGTTGTTGCACCAACAGCAGCAGCAAAATGAGATCATGAGCCGTACATCCACTGGTCATAACGGCGGAAGACATTCAGTCGTCCGCGTGAGGCAAACCTGGAAAGGGGGCTTGGCCACACATCATGAACAAGAGGTGCTACAGAAGTTGCAGGAGCACAGTCTGCGGCAGCAACAGCACCGGCATTCCCGTCAGCAAGCATTGTCGCTGACCACGGGGAGAAGAGCCCAAGAAGCGCCCGCTAAAGCAGTAGTAGAAGACGCATCTAGTATTCAGGACTCAAGCACAAACGAAAGGGAATGCCAGCGAGACGTACAAAATGACTTGCATCAAGGAGACCCACTCAAACAAGGAAACACCGAAGAAGCAGCAAAACATCGGGCCTTGGTGGTGCCTCCTCGTGGTGAAGCACCACCAGAGCCGCAGGAGCAACAACAACAGATTTGCTGCACCCCCTGCAGCTTTAAGGAGGGGTCTCAAGCATCGGGAACACCAAACCCAAGCCACCAGTGTGAAAAGGTTCAGCATCAAGAGGGAGTTCTGCCAGGACACCAGTCAGATCATGATTTTAACACGCAACAACGCCAGCAGCAGCAACAAGAAAAGCATAGGCATCTACAGCTGCATCCGCATCAGCAACCAGAAATGGAGTTGCCTGTGCGACATCGGCAGGAAAGCAAGAGCCAACATATGCGCAGGCAGCTGCAGCAACAGCTGCACCAAGAGCAGTACCAGCACCGCCAGCTGAAGCACGATCAAAGATTACAAATGTTGGTGATGCAGAACCGGCAACTGAGACGGCAACTACACGAGCAACAAAAGCGGTTGCAAGCGCAGTTGCAGCAGCCTCGAACTCAGCCACTAGGATCACGATATAGATCTCGCTGTGGAAGTGTCAAACGCTCGCCTGCATGTCTAAGATCGGCAGGACCCCAGCATCAACTGCAGAAGGGGGCTGTTAAATCCGCAGCAGTTGAGTGTGCTTGTAACACTGCTCTAAAGCCTGACAGCTCTCCTAAAGCTTCTGCTTCTTCGGCACGGCCGTGTGGCGTTTCCATAGGGTCCATCATCTTGTCGGAAGGCGCTTGCGGAGGGCTCTCTGCCACCGACTCGCAGACTCACACAGTCCAAGCTGAAGGATTGGAGCCACGGGTTGACGAGGCAAAAAGAGCACAGCTTTCTGATACGACAGAAAAAGAAGCAGATATGCTGGGACCAACAGGCCCCACAGCAACAGCAGCAGCGATTTTAAAAGTAGCAGCGGAAAGCTCATCGACGCGCCTCTCCCTCTCGCAGAAAGTCAAGGACGCTGGATTGGAAGGCGAGGAAACAGCGACTTCCTTCCACGAGCCTTGCACGCGCGAATCGTTTTCCCCAAATCAACGACACTTACGACAGCAGCAATCTCTGGCTGATTACCGCAGTGACACTCAACAAATTTTCTTGGCTGCATCTGAGGGCAGTACCAGGCAGGGGCCTCCGCTGCCGCTTCCGCTAGATTCTGCACATTTATGCAGCACAGCTGACAACCGCTACAGTCTAATCAAAACGCAGAACCTGCTGCCTCGCCGTTCCATCTCAAATGATGAGAACTCAACCCCGCTGCTGTTACAGCTGCGGAGGCTGCACGGAGGAGACGCCGCACAGCGTTGTGAGCAAGAGTATAAAAAAAGTACGAGCACATATCTAGACAGGTTGAGAGACCTGCAAGAACAGCGCATAGCCGCGCTGCTGCAACTACGATTGCAGCAGCCGCAGCCAGAGTTGACGTATCACGGGTGGCTGCAGAACTGTGGGGGACTAGAGCGTTGTAGGACAACACAGTCAGTCCAAGTTGGATGCAGTGAGTCCATCACAAACCGAGCAATAGAACAGGATCAAAGACAGCCGCAAATGCAGCAGCAACAGTTTCGCGATCTAGACGAGCCACCGCAGCATCCCATGGAGCCCTGCGACTCTTACGGTGCTTGTAGCGATAGAGCACTGCTACAGCAGAAACAGCAACAAGGACATATCCATGAATCTCGCAGAGGAAAGTGCCCTATCTCATCTGGGTATCTGAAACGAGAGATATCACCTACTGCTGCCAGCAAGACGCAGCTGCTCGCTGGTCGCGGCAGGACAGATTTGGTCTTATCGGCTGCCCGGGACGAGGCAGCAGCAGGAGCTGCTGTCTCCACAACAGGCGATATTACAAAAGGTGCCAAAGGAGAATTCAGCCGGACCGAACTCGGAGGAAAGGAATACTACGAGCAGCAGCCAAAACTACAGGAGACACTGCAACAATTTGAGCAGCAACTGCAACGCTTGCAGCAAGAAATGCATCCTAAGCAGCGGGCGCAGCAGAAAGAGCAGCGGCAGCAACAGCAAATCCACCTAATTGTGGGCGTCCGCCGCAGTCGAGCGTCACGTGAAGCGCAGCTCTCCAAGGCACCAGCAGTAGTGGTAAGGAAGCAACCTTCTCTGCAGCAGCAGCAGATTCTGCCACAAAATGGACCAATACTGCAGCTGCATCAGACGCCAGAAAGACAGCGGCCCCTCCCCACGCTTGCATACGAGGCACGGCAGCAGCACCAAGAAGCCAGTGGCGCTGCCGGCCAACAGTCTCTCGAGCTCAGATCTACCAAACCTCCGCCACTGCAAGGAACGCCTGCATCCATACTAGTGCCACCACGACCTATACGCGCTCTACCTCAAAAACACCAAAGGCAGCCCACACCCACTCAGCAGCCGCCAAAGGGTAGTCCACCTATGGAGTCTGCGAGAAACGGCTTAAGGGCTCAGCATCGTCGCATTAAATTCGCACAGCAGCAGATAATGGAGGCATCCAAGGTATCATCATCAACGGAAGAGCAGCGGCAGCATATCACTCTACACGTGTGTCCTGTAACGGCACGGCAAGAGCAACAAATGCAGCATGTCCACGTAATTCGACACCGCATGCAGCAAACCAAGCGGTAGTTGCACGGCCCCTTTGTAGAAAGAAGAGTCTACCTAGGCTCTGGAGGAATGCTGCTGCTGCAGCAGAAACAGCTACAAAAGAAAGCACCTTCCTCTAGTCCAGCAGATGCAGCCCCAGATCCAGGATTGGTTTTGAATCTAGCTGCAAAATTTTCTAGCTGCGTGCAAGAAAAGTGCATGGACCTAGTTGAGATGCTGCCTGTAACGGTGCATATCATAGAGCTGCTAGAATCTTTCCACCAAGAGCAAAGGAAAACAGGTAGCAATGCCAGATATCTGGCATACGTACATATACCTACACCTAAGGACACACAAATGCACATACATGTACTCCACTCCATCGAGTCTTATTTGTAGCCTAGCAGAGCACCAAGCACTCTAATACTCAGCTTAGAATGTACACGCCTCTCCATTTGCCCTTCATTTCGGCACCGTTGTAGCCCATCAGAAGCTGTGGGATGAAGCAAAGGCAGCACCAACAACGCGCAGATTTTTTGAGAATCAAGCTAAAACACAGCACTCTACGCATCTGTGATATTGAAAAAAAGCGAGTTGACTCGTTTAACGCTCTGTAACTGCGGCTGGTAGATCCCTAAGGCACGTTTAATTCGCGTCAGAGCTGTCAACAGTAATTTTAAAGAGAGAGATCCACAAAAAGCCAGGAATCGTTGCGCGTAGTGTCCAGTCTGCATGAGCGTGGCCACAGAATGAGACGAAGGGCGATTCATTAAAAGCCAGAAGCAGCGAAATTAGCTCCACTACGCCTGTACGAGGTGCTGAACAGAGCACGGAAGAACGAACCATGCAGCCACAGATACGTAGGGCCGTAACCACAGTTTGCTCCTGTTGAGCGCACAACCATGGAGGTGCTAAGGGCTGCTGCCTCAGAATGGGGAGAAGACACCTTGTGTTTAGAGAAAAATTCTTCTGCCGAAGGAGCGAGTTTCATGAAGATGAAGGGAGGGCCTACACGGCCAGCAAAGGCGCAACACTCGTATGCCGCCGTAGCCTCATCAGGTACGGCTTCAGGCGACCGTTTAGCCCTCTATGCCTCACAATCCTGGCACCGCTTCGTCCATCTGACTTTAGCTGCAAAAGCCCCCCGCCTCCCCCCATGCGGAACGCACAAGTGGTGATTGCAGGAGGCAAGCAGCCAGTCTCAGCACCACAGCGCAGCTGCGGCTCTCTGCCCCGATGAAGCTAATAAACAATAAATAAGCACCCAGAAATACGATCGCAGCAGATTAAAGCTTAGAAAAGACCAAATGGGAGCAGCAGGGGATTCCATGAAGACGCGTTGTCGGCTGCGGCGTTTCTCTAGCACAGTGTGATCGCCTAGAATAAAGCTGCAGACGCATGTGCATTCAAAACTATTTATTAACTTTCAACTCCACGCATTTTTAATCGTGCAATGTACCTGTCTGTGTGCGGCTGAGCGGTGTTCTGGAAGCTCTCGTGCCCCTGCCCGCTGCTTGCGCTGCCGGTGTGCTCTCGGGAGAAGAGCACCGCAGCGCAAGCAGCGACAGACTGTCGCAACAAATTCCAGGCGCCAGATGGTTAGTCCCCATTAGGATCCTGCTAAGACGAATTATAGTAGGGATTTCCGTCTGTTTCCTTTAAGACAGGGCAGTTTTTGTACCAATACTCGCACCAACCACTGACTGAGGGGAGCACATCATCGGAGGAGCAGTACCCGCAAGGACATACAATGTGCAAAGAAGGGCTGCATATCAGAGCTGTGGGCAGGCATCCGCTATCCTGACTAGAAGACAGTGAGAGGCGTGCAGGAGTGGCATGCAACACAGCGGTACTCTTTGCCGCTGCTGCATCCGACACCACGAACCAGCAGTGTGCAGCGATCCCAGCACCAAAATGGCACCCCTACGCGAACATTAAGCAAGCAGTCGATACGTCTGTGCAACGCTCTAGCAGGGACTGCTTCTGCATGTGAAGCTCCTGCCGCATAGAGGCGCACAGCGAGCTGGTGCTCAAGAGCTCCATAGCATCGGTTCATGGAGACCCCCGAAAGATAGATACCGTTTGCACCAGCTTTGCGCCAAAAGCAAAAGTTGCACCAACAGGCGATACGACTTTTTTGCAAGGGCAGCAGCCTCGGCATCAGGATCTCAACAGAACGCAACGAAGCCTTATGGGGGCCTCCTTGTCTTCCGAGGAACGGAAACTGCAAGCCTCGCTACAGCTGCTATCATGCCAGCGGCAGGCTGAAGAAGAAGATGCTCTGGAACAGCGGCAGCGCCTATGGCGCTGTGTGGCAACGTCCTTGTTGCGCTACTTTGGGGAAACTCGACAGTGCAATTGGTATGCTTCGTCTTTTTGCTGCAGTAAGGACTCTTGAAAGTGTTGTTTCTGGCCGTTTTGAAGAAGCGATTCTGCAAGTTATATGCTGTGCGTTTGAATGTGCAACGGCAAGCTGCTCCTGCGTCATGCTGCAGGTCGGACGTGAGGTGTGTGGAAAGCCTTTTGTGGGTAGGAGAATGGCTAGCAGAGGACGGTCCCCAGTTGGTGGATGCCTTGTTGAAGGCGCTTGAGCTGCAGATTCTCAAGCAGCAGCCGATTCTGCAGGTGTGCAGCCGCATGGCACCCTGCAGCGGTGTCGATCCTTTTGGCATGCAAGCTCTCTCAGATCAGGCGAGTTCAGCAGATGGACAATCTTGGGAAGCATCGGAAGAAGAAGAAGCAGCAGCTGCTGCTGCTGCTGCAGTTGAGGAGTGGCAAAAAAGCACTCTGCTACTGCTGCAGGTGGCCCTGCTGCTGCTCAAGTCTCAAAAGCTTCTAAGTGTAAGAATTCAACGATTCTAATTCTTTGCCCGTTGCAGCGGTAGCAGTGGGTGCTGAAGGGGAAGACCAGAGGCGGCAGCAGGGAAGGCCGCCTCCACCTAATGTTGATGAATCTGCTGCTGCTCTCACTGCAGTATCTTTTTGCTGTGGTGCTTGGTGCTGCTGTGGTCCTTGCAGCACCTCGTGCATGCTCCTGATAAGGCCTCTCCGCTGCTCCCACTGCTGCAGCAGCTGCTGAAGTGCGCATGCCGCATGCGCTGCGTGCTTAGATCGCCTGTAGTTCTAGCAGCAACAGAAGCAGCTGCTGCTGCAGCACCAGCAGTAGAGGCAGCGGCTGCAGCAGCGTCTCCCCATGGTCACTTTGAGCAGCATCCCTGTTCTACAGCCGTCCGGGTGTATCTGCAGCAGCTTGCTCTGACAAAAGCAATGGCTGTTTTCCTGTTGCGCCTCGGCTGGCAAGTGCCTCTTCACCTGGAGGAGCAGAAACAGATGCAGCAGCAGTTCAAGGCCACCAAGAGCGAGAAGCACCAACTTATGCAGCTGCATGCGATATGCGCTGTGTGGCGAGACCGCTGGATAACCCGAGATTTGCTACACGAAATGATAGATTTTTGTCAGCAGATGCAGACACAGCAAGATGCCCCGCTGGGGGAGAAGTTCGTGTTGCAGAAAGCGGAATGTGCGTCTGCGGCCTGCTACATTCCGGTGCATGCTGGTGAAAACAGCAACGCAATAGCAGCGGTGTCAGAAACAGGGGAAATTACGCGCTTCGCGCAGTCTGTGCGCCTTCCCTGCTGGGATGTAAGTGCACCCTCTCCAGTTGAAGCAGCTACTGAACAGCATACTGACAGCAGCAGCAACAGCAGTGACCAGAGCGTTCCCCAGCCCGCCTTCAGCGGTCGCGCTGCGAAGGAGGAGCAGCGCATGTCAGCACCAGCAGTACCGCGCATCTCAGCAGCAGCGCAGTCAGCGGAGAATTACGGGTTATCTGCGCCTCCCATCCGAGCTGAAGCACGCAGCGTGTTCTTTCACGCTAATACTGCCTCTGATGAAGCAGCAGTAGCAGCAGCAGCTGCACCGGGGGTCCAGGCTTGTGTGTCGCTACAGAAGCTTGTGGCTGCAGCGGAGGGGGATGTTGTCGCCAGTCTTCTGCAGGTGTGCTGCTGGTGCTTGGGAGAGAAGCAGCACAACCCCATTCCGTTGCTGCTGCGGAGTCTCTCGGTGTGCAGCAGCAGCAGTACTCTCGGACTTTTGGTAGATCTGACGCAGTCCTCTACTAGAGCTTGCAGACTGAGGGTATGTATGCTGCTGCTTTTTTTTGCTGCTTTTTGTTGATGCTCTTTGCTGCTGCTTTTTGTTGATGCTCTTTGCTGCTGCTTTTTGTTTCTGATTTTTGTTGCTGCTTTTTGTTGATGCTCTTTGCTGCCATTCTTCTTGCCATTCTCAGTCTCATGCGTGCTGCTCCTGCATACGGGGTGTGTGTATGCAACGGGGAAAAGCGCACTGGAAGCAGTACCCGCGCTGCGATTTTCGGCGTATTTGGACACCTGATGGCTTTTTTCCGTGCGCGTTCTGATGCTCTGCGTTGTCTGTAGGCGCTGCTGCTGCTACAGTTGCTGTTACTCCACTCTCCTGCACCCATCAGACTCCAAATTATTATTCCGGCTATTCTGCGCGCCGGCCTGTTGCTGCCAGTGCTGCTGCGGCTGTTGCTGCTGCTGCCGCTGCCAGCTCGGCAGCACGACGAGGACGGGGACGGATGGTCAGAAGTCCCCGAAGGCGTGGTCGAGCAGCAGCAACAACAGCCGTCAAGGATGCTCATAGAAGACGACACAGAAGTAACAGTTGCCGAGGCTGAGTCTGTGATTGAGGGCTTTGCTGGAGTAGTAGCTGCTGCCGGTAATACCAGCTTGTTTGCCCATTCCAGCGAGCAGCAGCACGAGTGTCAGACGGAAGAAGCACTGCTGGTGAATTTGCTGGCCTTACTAAGCGAACCTTCAGATTCTGACTGCGGCGGTAGCACAAGTGGCATAGCGCACACGATATTGCAACTCCTGCATGTGCTCCCGCAGTCAGTCCTCATGCAGCTACAACAGGCCGCGTTCTTCGAAACGCTCAGGTCCAAGCACAGCAGCGGCAGCACGGAAATCAACCGCGCCAACAGCACCAACGATCTTGGCAGTGCTTTGTGCTCTGTACTGCGGGGAAGCGTGTTCACTGATGCAGCACAGGGAGCAAGTGTACTTTCAGGGTGGGAGTGCATCAGTAGCTGCAGCAGCGGCACCAGTACCGGAAAGCTGCGGCGACATAATGACTGCGGGGACACTCCGCTGAATTGGCGGTTTTTTGCGGAAATGGTGCAGAGCGCGTTGCGGCAGCAGCAGGGGCTGAATAGCGAGAGCAGCACCTACCGTTCAGCTGTCCTTGCATTGCTGGTGACGCAGTGGAGAGACGTACGGCTGCTTCGTGGCCTCTGCGGGGGGGTGTATGTTGAGCTGCAGCAAGAACATTGGCGTGCCCTTTTGCTGCTACACATGCAACAGCGGCAGCAGGAGCAACAGCACAATCAGCAGCAACAGCAGCAGCAGCGAAAGGCTCTCCCACATTATCAACGATTTTTACAGCTGCCTCCTGGCGTTTGCAGCAATCCGCAGGAGCGGCAGGAGCTGGTGCCTACGGCTTGTGGCACCCATACTCCTGAGTTGCGGCCTGCAGCGCTGCAGCAGCTTCTAAGACGGCTGAAGATGCTGCAGCGCATGCAAAGAAGGCGCGCTTTGACGGAAGGTGCAACCCCATGCAGCGGCAGAAACTTTCGCGGGGACTGTTGCGAGGAATGGAATTGGGAGGTGCTCACCTTGCACCCTTTGGCTCCTTCTACAAGCATAGGCACCAGCGACATCCACCGAAGCGCGTGTAGAGGCGCTCAAAGCATCCAGGAAAACAGCCAGCACTTTGAGCAAGCAGCGCACGCTTCCGATGCTGCGGCGCGCGTGGAGGAAGGGGCGAAGTGCAGTCTGCTTCAGCGAGGCAGTGTGCAGCTGCTGCTGCTGCAGCAGGCGGCAGCAGCCGCTGTAGTCAGAGACCCCTCGGCCTTGTGCTACGTAGGTCTGCACTTGCGATCGCTGTGCTCGCTTCGTTTGTCCTTTGCTGCTGCTGATTCTGCCGATGCTGCGAACTCTGCTTCCTCTCATGCGTGTGCTGCTGCCACTCGCTCTGCCATTTCCTGCCATGGATTGACTGCGCGTGACACGAATGGGGTCTGCTGACTGCTGCTTGTGCTCAGTCTGCAATGCAGCAGGTGCTGCTACACTCGGGAAGGGCCACCACTGCGCCGCTGCCGCTGGTGCGGCTGTTGCTGCTCTGGCAGCGGCTTTTGCAGTGCTACCCTTTGGCCCTCCAGCTGGCTCGTAATCCTCACAGTGGCAGCGGCAGCAGCAGTTTTCCTTTCTGCAGCACTCGCGGCGACTCCTGTCCGCAGAACGAGGGGTTGGACGCGCGCTTCCGTGCTCTTTCCGTGGAATCGTCTGGAAACGGTGAAAGGCTTGCACCAGGAGCACCCACAGCTGCAGCGTTAGCAGCTCCAGCATATGCTGCAGAGGGGTTGGAGGTCGCCCTTGCCCTGCTGCAGCAAGGGGGAGCTCTACCTGCAGCCGTGCGTCGCATGGCATTAAACGTTGTTCGCCTCCTACTTGCTGCCGTCAAGAAACAAGAGCAGCAGCAGCAGCAGCACCTAGCAGAACAGCTGATACGCTGCGGAGGCCACACGGTGTTTTTGCTGCTCTTATATGCGTTTACTGGCCAAGAGTTACAGCAGCTTCAGCAGCAGCACCAGAAAAAGCGGCAGCTGCAGCCAAATTACACACAGCAACAGCACGCTCTAAAACCTGGTGCAGAGTGCAACAGCAGCAGCAGGCATACGCCCTTGGAGGCGTTTTCAATGGCTGCAGCGCTGCTGATGTTGCCCCAGCCAAAAGCGACGACGGAAACGGCAGTGGCAGCAGCAGTAGGCCCTTCGGAGTCAGCGGGGAGGCGCGGCTGCACTACGCTTGACAACAGCAGCCGGTATAGCACGAGCAGCAGGAGCTCCAGCATCGACAGAGGGAAAGGCCTTCTGCCCTCGACAGGACTGCCCACAAAGGAATTCTTGGAGAAGCTTGAGCAGGGTCGGCAGCCTGCGCGAAGGCAGCAGCAGCAACACCAAAAACAACCGACTGACTCCCTGCCGTCTTTGCTTTCTACTTCTGCAAGCACTGCATATGAAGGCCCTGTTAGCAGCAGCTGTGGCTGCTGCAGGGGGATGGGCAGTGGCTGCACCTGCAATGCCTGTAGTAGCGGCAACCCCACAAGCATCGACCCCGAGCACCCCAGAAGGATCGGAAGGAGACGCAGCAGCTGTGGCAGCAAGTTTGTTACAGAGCAAGGCGAAGATGCGCCAGCCTCCACGGGCATCCGCGAAGCAGCAGCGCACGAAGCATGCAGGCTTGCAGTTCCGCAGCAAAAGCAGGAGAAGCAGCAAGGAGGTCTCACCTTATTGCAGCGCCAGTCTCAACAATGCGTCACCGATTGCGAGACTCTCCCTCCGCACATGCCAAACCACGATGCGGCGCAGCGGCAGCAGTTGCTGCTGTTGCCACAAGCTGCTGAAATCTTCATCAGGAGGCTGGCTCCTGCAGAGGCTGGCACCGCTCTCCAGGCCTTGCTGCTTGGCTGTACTTACAGCCCTGCCTTAGCGCGTCAGCTGTGCTGCAGCCGAGCAACGCTGCAGCAGCTGCTGCTGTTGCTGCTGATGCCAGCAAAGCACGAGCGGTTGACGGTCTCTGCGGCCAAACTGTTGTTGCTGCTGCTTCGCCAGCACCCCACAGTGTCTTTGATGCTGCTACAGGAAGGAGTGCTACCCATATGCTGCGCTGCGGCATGTAGGCTTCAGCAGACACATTTGGACAGCCAATCCAGGAGCTGGGAAGATGGCAGCTCCCCTGCAGGGGACTCCGGGTGTACTTACAGCTCCTCCGCGTTGCGCGCTTCGCGTATTGCTGCATGCAGAGTGCTGTGGCGTGTTGTTGTAACTCTTGACGCCTTCGACCTCCCGGATACAGGCAGCCGCTGCTGCTGCTGCAGCAGAGGCAATGTCGAAGCGGAGGCCTTCTGTTGTTGCTGGTGCTGCTGTCGTAGTTCCTCCAAGGGTGACGGTGTTATACCAAGGGGCACTCAGTTTCTGTGCAGGCTGCTTCCTGCCCCCCTAGTTCGACTTTTCCTCTGTGAGACGTCCCTAAGCCTTTCGTCAGTCGAGAATCCACGTGCGTATGGAGGCAGACGCGGGCCTGTAGCGCTTGCCAGCCTTCTCGCCTTCTGTGCTGCCGGTGGAAAGGTGCAGACGCCACAGCTTGTGTGGAGTACAGAGCTGCAGCAGCAGGTGCTCCTGCAACTCTGTGAACCTATTGCCCAGTTGCTGCAGCGCGAAGGCGGGAGCAACAGTAACTCTGGTCCTGCCACGGACGCCCTTGGCTTTGCAGCAGCACTTGGCGTGTTGTCTGTACACCTTGTTAGGCCAGGCGAAAGCGGTGCGATGGCGACTCCTGCTGCAGTCGCTTCTGCAGTGGACAACAGGCTGAACAGGAAGGCGGCGGGAGTTGGTGCTGCTATTTTAAAAGGGATGCAAAACTGCGCTCTTGTTCGTGTCTGGCAGCCGCAGCTCGCACGCCTGCTAACAGCTGGCGGTATGATTGTTCCTGTACTTCTGTACAAGGCCGATCGAATATGGACTTCTGGATTCCATCAAATGCAACTGCTGCAGCAGCAGCCGCAGGATCTGAAGCATCTAACTCGCAGGGAGGGCCTTTGCGCACGCCACACTCTAGAGCAACAGCAGTTCCAGATGCGATTGCAGCTGTGTCGGTTACAAGACGAGAGCGAGGGGCTGCTACGCGGGAGCGCCGCTTCTGAAGCCTCAGAATCTGAAACAGCGGTGCCCACCACACTTGCGTCAGCTGCTGAGGCCACACTCCGCATATGGATCCGAACGACTGAACAGAATCAATTTACGGTGCTGCGTGAGCTGATGTTGCTTCCTATCCCTCAACGGGCAGCACCCTGTCTCCAGCACTCGTGCTGGAGAGCTCCCAAGCAGCACCGGCAGCACAGTCAGCAGCCACGTCCTGTGACTCTCTTACTGCAGTTGCTGCGCTGCTTCCATGTGCATTTTCACAAACACATACACGAAGAATCCGGGGAGGCAGGTGCCTGGACGGCGAGCACGAGCAGCAGCAACTCTACGGCGTGCGAGAGTGCCAATACAGCCCCTTGCTGCTCAGAGCAGCCTCATACTGCGCACGATTTGCTGCAGCTGTTGCGCCTTCAGCAGCTACTTTTACTCCTGCTGCCGAGCATGTTTGCACAGTGCACCTGCAGCGAAAATACTGTGGACGCAGCAACAGCCGTATCGGCAACAGCACGCAACTGCTGCTGCGTTTGCCTCTCGCACCAGCAGCTGCTGCAACAAATCGAGACCGTCGTTGGAAACAATGAACGTGTCGACCGTGTTTTGTTACTGCAGTCTGTGATGTTGCTGCACGTCCTGCTGATCCTGGCGCTTGCACAGGCAGCAGTATTACCCACAAGAGCTGTGTTGCTGCAGCGGCTTCTCAATGCAAAGACTTTGCAGCAAGTTCTGCTTCTTCCGGAGCTACAGGGCAGTAGTCAGTCGCACGTGCAGCTACAACAGCAGCAGCGACAGCAGCAGCGTCCCCGCAAGAATCCGCTACTAGAGCGGCTTCGAGGGTATCTGCGGAAAGCAGCAGAAAGCGAGACACCACTTGCGTGCAGCGGTAGTGATGCGCCTTCTCCCGATGCGATCACGGAAGCTTCCACGATGACGATTGACGCTTCTGAGGGGCAGCAGCAGCTGACACAGCGGCAACGGGGTCAATGGAAAGAGGAGCAACCGGTGCAACACGAGGAGCACCAGTCAAGCCGACGAATATTGGACTCCCGAAGGCGTCGCGTTGGTGGCAAGGAGGAAGCTCAGACGAAGAGCCGAAAGGTGCAGCGCTTCTTCTTTGAGTCTCTTGCCTTTTCTGCAGGAGAAGAAGCCACGTTGACACATCCCAGCAGCACGTCTGCAGTCGTCTGCGTAGAGAAGCAGCAAGTGCATCAGCGGCAGCACCAGCATCTCCGTAGGGCAGTCCTAGAAATCGGTGAGTGCTCAGTGGTGCTTTGCTGCTGATCGTGGTGCTGCTAAGGTGGGGGCAGCAGCTTCTGCTGCTGCACTGCTGGTGTTCCTGCAGTCGCTCATGTGCAGAGTGTCTCTCCCTATGACCTTGCTGCAAGCCAGTGCATGTACGCTGCTGCTTCGGATGCAGTCTATTCCCTTGCTTCGTACGCCCCCGTCGTAAAGCGAGCCGCTGCTGCGGCAGTCTGGCCACCATGTTGTACCCCGCCGTGCAGCTGCGGCAGTACAAAGGGGAGAGCTGCCTCGGATGGCAGTGGCAAGACAAAGGAGAATTCGCGCAGCAGCAGCAGCAGCATACGCAGCATACGCAGCAGCCGCAGCAGCAGCATTCGCAGGTCTGAAGAAAGCTGTTCGAGCCAAATGCAGCAGGAAAAGCAGCAAAGGCAGCAGCAGCATCAGTTGCAGTTGCAGCGCCTCTGTTGTGACGCTCTGACAAAGGGGCTTCTCTTTCTGTTGGCTGAAGTTTACAGCAACAGGACCAGCAGTTCTGCTTGTTGCTGTCGCACATGCACCGCACTGGTGCTGCGCAGCGTGCAGCTGCTCTGTGCCGAGTCTTCCACGCGACAGCTGCTTCTGCGTCGTGGGATTCCTCTGGTGCTGTAAGTTTGTTAAAGCCATGATCACTGAATGCGGACCTCGAATCTTGGCACTCAGCAAGTGAAAACGCTGGCATCCACCTTTGGGTAGCAGACCCTTCACTGCGTCTCCTGCAGCGCCAGCGCGTGACTGCTGTGCATTTCTGCTTCTTTCAGGTTGCAGCTGCTGCTCTCTGCCGGAAAGGAAGGCACAAGTGTAGGGTTGACAGCAATGGAAGAGGAACTATCAGAGCATCTAGAAGACGCAGAGGAGCAGCGCGAGAACACAAGGTTTGAGGGCCTTTCAGCAGACGCCGTCTACCCGACAACCCCTGAAACAGCAAGCGCAGCAGCAGTCGTGAGGCGCATGGGCATCCGAATGCTGCTTGCAGAGACAGTGGCTGCGTTTATAGGAATAGCGCCTCGCAGCAATGAGTTCACCGCTGTAGATGCCTCTCTCGCGCTCTTGACCACGTCCGCAGCAGCACCCGCAGCCACCATAACAGAAGCCGCGTCAGCAGCGACTCTCGCTGGGGGTGTCAACAAGAACGACCAGAGAGCAAGCACCCCTAGTGTGTGGCTTCCTGGCTACTCGCTTCACTGGGATCTCCCTGATAGAGAGGCAAGCGTGCACCACGACCACCGCATTTTTGTCGAGCCATCCCTCCCCTCCCCCTGTGTTGGGTGCTCTTTTGTGCGGGCATGTGCTTGCTTCTAGGCTGCTGCTCTCGCTACGCGTGACTCTGTGGCTCTCCCGGATGGTGCTCCTGCAGGCAACTGCTGCCCTCTCGCAGCTGCTGACTCCCGCATTGCTTCTCCAGTTGCTGCCGCAGTGGAGGCACTGCAGTGCATGCAGCCATCTGCGGTTGCAACGGCTGTGTCTCACCGGGAGCATGGACAGTAGCAAGAGCTGCTGCCACAGCCTCGCAGCATCAGCAGCGGCCGCTGATGTTGAGAAGCTCTCTTCCGTGTGCGTCGCTGATGGCAGCTCTGATTCGCACGAGCAAAAACAACTCGCAACAAAAACTGCGGCTGCTGGTGCTTCCGAATGGACTCCTGCTGCCACCTGCACGACGCGGCAGCTCCAGCACTTCTTGAAACTCTTGGGAGGGAGCTCCGACTCCGCAACGTGCTTTTGGAATGTGCAGGAGCGTCGGGCTTTACATTCTGTCACCGTAGGTGATGCTTCCATTTTGTGCAATGGGTGGTCATAATTACGTGCCTGTGTGTGACTTTGCTTTAGCCTCATTCTCGCGGCAGCGTTCAGCCCCCTTCGCTCTTGCGCTCGAGCGACACAGCAGCACCAAACCGTCTCGAGGTGGCAACGCAACCTTCGGAAGCTTCCAGACTATGTCCAGTTGTTTCTTTCGACATCACGGGGTCTACTAAAAGGCCTTGCATTCCTCTGCCGCTTCGCGGGTAGAGTCAGCTGTGCTGGGCTGTGCTCGTGGCTGCTTCAGGCGCTGCAGCTGCTGCTGAGCTTGCGAACATCCGAGGATCGCCGTCATGCGGCAGACGGGCAGAAGCGCAGGAGCAGCAGCACCAAATGCAGTGAATCGACGCTACCTGTTTGGTCCCTCGAAGCCTTCCTTGCTGCTGATGGCTTCCAATACCAGCATCCAACTCTCCGCAACAGTGCGCTGCGCTTCCACACGCTCTCGCCCCCATCCTCCTCGTGGAAGCCTCGCCAATGATCTATTTACCCAAAAGATGGCCTAAAGCAGACACAATCCAGGCTGGTGGTGATTGCGAACAAGCTAACCAAGAGCGTTTGCGTTTGCCCTTGAGGTAACCCTCTGCCTTAAGCTGCGTGTGTGCTGCAGAGGAATTTGTTGGTGGCCTCTACTTGAGGCCTTTGGCTTTTCAAATGCACAGAGAGCAACAGAAGACAGCTGGACTGCTTGTGCAGCGCCGAGGCGGTCACAGAAGCAGCAGCAGCACTACCACAACCACCAGGAGCAAGCGCAGCTGCTGCACTAGGGCCAATAGCGCGAGCAGCACATCCAGTAGCAAGAGCAGCAGGAGCAGCAGCAGCACGTCCAGTAGCCAAAGCAGCAGGAGCAGCAGCAGTAGCAAGAGCAGCAGGAGCAGCAGCGCCATTATCACCAGACGCAGGCACAGCTGCTGCCCATGGGGACGTAACACCACTGCGCTTCAGCAGGCCGCCGAGCTTCCTGCCTTTGTAGTGACGCTGCAAGTATGCTGTTTTTGGTTTCAAATAGCACGAGCAGCAGTTGCAGGTGCATCGAAGGCAGCAGCACCACTAGTTTTAGGAGCTTTGATAGAGGCAGCGGCTAGAGCTCTGGATAAGGCTTCTACGGGGGAGATTTCGCTTTTACTCGTGCTGCTGCTGCAGGCTTTGCTCGACTCGGTAGCCTCCGCTGCCACTGACAAGGACGATGAGCAGCAGCTGCTGCAGAAGGGAAAAGAGGGCAAAGCAGTGGCGGCAGCAACAGTAGCAGACTGCTCTTTGTATCAACGAGTTGTTGGCGTTGCTGCTTTGCTGGATCAGCGGCTGCAGCTGCTGAATCAACGCCAAATCCTACAGCAGCAGCAGCACCATCAGCAGCAGCACCATCAGCAGCAGCACCAACGCCTGTCATATCTAAATGACAACAACAGCAAAGGAGAAGCACCGGTTATTCTGCTGCCTCTTATGCTACTCCTGCTGCAGCAAGTGCAACACACGCCGACGGCTCTGCTTTTTGAGGTGCACTCCAGCACAGCTGCAGTGACTGCCGATAGACCGTGTGCCCACAGCCTTGTTTTGTGACTTCTTCATACGCAGGGTGCTGCTGATGTTGCTGCTGGAGTGTTTGACACTGCAGGCAATCACATCTGCATTGTCCAGAGCTTTGGAGATCTACCGGAAGGTGAACAGTGCCCCTTTCCACACGATCATGGGATTTTCGAAGAGACCCCTGAGCGCCATGTAGCGGAACTTTTCACCCCCCGAGATTCCAGTTGTGGTGATTTCCATGTTGAAGAAGCCTGCCAGAAGCATCGCAACAATATTCTGACGCACAGTACAACAAGCTGAAGGTTTTGGCGTTTGTGCGCAGAGTTCCCTTGATGCCCATGTCTTGGGGGGCCGTCAGTTTCTCGAGGCTTTGGCATTCTCTGTCAGCCTTGCTGTAAGGTGAGTCTACCCGACTAGCAACACGAATAGCTCCCCCAGTAGCGAGAGCTTTAGGTTTCAAAGGACCTGGTCTCTTCGTTTTTCTTCGTTTCAGGTGTATCGGTTCTGAATGGCTGTTAGAGGAAGCCAACTGTGGGGTGGTGTGGATACCAGAGCAGCAGCAGCCGGCTACACTTGAATCTGCTGATGCAGATACAAGTGTAGCCGGCTGCCCCTGCTTCTGCGAGTCAACTACTGCTTACAAGATACCTTCCACTACTTCTCGGCTCTCTCTGCTCCACCTGCTACCTCTGCTCGCTGCTCTGCTACAACCAGAAGAAGCAAGTGCTACGGCAACGGCGGAGGCAACAGCCTCATCGGAACTAACAGGTGCTGTTGTTGCAGAAGAGGCTTTCTCAGTCTTGCAGCGTTCTGTCTGCAGCACTGGCGTGGGGCTAGTGCTGCTGTTGCACCTCCTCAGGTATGGACAGCAGCGCAAAGAGGAGCACTGCTGCACTACAGCCGCTGAAACGGACGCCATTTCCCTGTACAGCACCCAGATCCTAGCGTTGCTGCTGCGTAACACAGAGCAGGAGAAGCAGCAGGAAAGTCAGTTCGAGAAACATCAAACGAAGGATGCTGCTGCAGCTGACGGCCTCGGCCCGAACACAACTGCCCGCTCGCCTTCAGCTGTAAATCCGCAAGTCATGGCTCCCAGCGATGAGGCATGCACCCTCCTCATGCTGCTCTGGATTGGTGGAACTGTGCGTTCGGCAGCTTCGATTGCAGCAGCAGCAGCAGCAGGTGCAGCAGCAGCAGGGGCGGCAGCAGCAGGGGCGGCCGCTACGCACTCCTGGTCGCTCAGTGCAGCCGCAGTGGGAGGCCGTAGTTGTATTCGCGTGCTGCAGCAACTGTGGTTGCAGCAGCAGCAGCAGCAGCAGCAGCAGCAGCAGCAGCAGCAGCGGGCGCAGCGGATATTGGATCGGCAGAGCATGCAGCTGCAGCTTGAGCGAGTGCTACTTTTGCAGCTGCATATGTTGCAATCGGCAGGTGCAGCAGCAGGCGGCTCCACAGGCCCGAACGCTGTACTCTGCGCTGCTCAAGAGCTTCTGGAGCTGATGTCTTGCAAGGAGCAGCATCTGCAGCCGGAGCAGCAACAGCGCGTGGAGTTTTTGAGAGCAGCACTTCAGTGGCAGCACCAACAGCTGCTTGCTGACCTGCAGCAATGGCGAACTACCACCAGGTTAGGCGCGATTTGACCCCATGCAGCAGTGTGCCTCTACCATGCTGGCGCGGGTGTGAACCGTGGCTTTAAATGCCCATGAGACTGTCACCTTAGCTTCTTCTGCAACAGCCAATGCTGCTGTTTCTGTGAACTACAGGCAAGCGGCAGCACGACAGGAGCTCCTGCGGGTAAACCCTATTAGCGGAAGCAGTCTAGCGTGGTGCTGCAGCAGCGGCAGCCGCAGCAGCAACAACAGCGCCCTGCCATCCGCAGATTTGTCTGAAGAGGCTCTCACGGAGCTACAGATTCAAATTCCGACGCAGCAAGCGCAGTTTCCGGCTGCAGGAGGAGAGGTAGCCACGTGGCTGCTGATGAAGACGCGAGAAGTTCTTCTGGCAGAACAACATCTGCCACTGCTGCTGCCCGTGCGGCCGCACTTAATACTACTTCGGGTGTATATACAAAAGCCAGGTAAGCAGCTCACGTGCTGCTACAACGACACCCCTGCTTTCGTCTTTCTTCTTGAGTCAAAGAAAGGGCCACGGTGAGGAAGCAGGAACCGTCGGGCTTGCTAACATGTTTGCAGGTCTATGCATGCAACAGGATCTGGAGCTGCTGGTAGTGCTGCTGCGAATTCTACAGCAGCACTACCAGCAGCTTGAGCTGCAACTGGAGCAAGGTGGCAAAACCTTCGATCTGGAGGTCCTTGCTTCTGTATTTCGGAGCAGCGGCTCTTGCGCATCCGAAGCACTCCGGGGGACGCTCGCTGCTGCTGAAGCTCGGCAATTGTTCACAGCAGCCCGAGCGGCGGCAGGATTACACTCGCCGTCTGCTGCTGAATCTCCGTGCGCAGACACAGTCCAAACAGAGGGCGCAAATCGGCCTCCACTGTCGCATGAGAAGGACGAGGGTGTGCTGTTGGAGCTGATGCGTCCACAGTGGCAGCACAGAGACCCCTCAGTGTCCCTGACGCTCAGCAGCAGCAGCAGCAACAGCAGCAGCAGCAACAGCAGCAGTAGCAACAGCAGCAGCAGTAGCAGCAGCAGCAGCAGAAGCAACAGCAGCAGCAGTAGGAGTAGCAGCAAAATGAACAGCAGCCAAAGCAGCAGCATAGGCAGAAACATCAACAGAAACGTAGGCAGTTCCACACGCAGCAGCAGCAGATGCAGCAAGCTCCGTCGAAATAGCGAGTTTTCAAACTCCGAGCCAGCAGGACGCGCTATTCCAGAAGCTGCTGCTGCAGCTGCTGCTGCGCAGCACTGGGATATACCGACAACGGTGAGGGCCTTACAGCACGCCTTTTCACGTTGCAGCCGGCGTTGCGCTCAGGTTTTTCAGGAATCACAGCAAATGCATCGGTTCGAAGAGCAAAGGCAACCTGAAGCACTGCTTCAGGATGTATTGCAAAGCATGTGGGAGGGTGTGGCAGTCCTGTTGCTACAACGGGACAAGCCACTGGAATTGCTGAGCTCCGCAGAGAGCAAGACTGGCGGCATCAGCAGCTGCACCAGCATGAGTGGAGTCTGCTGGTGGTGCTGCGAGTCACATAAACGCTGTTGTTGCCAGGCAACTGCGGTAGACATACACCCCTCCTGGGAGAAGCCTGCCTTTTCGCCGACGGACGCTCCCGCAGCAATCGCGCTTGCGGAGGGTGGTTTTGCTGCTTCGCCAGCCAGCGACGTTCAGGATGCAGCCATGGCAGAACTTGCGGCGGGAGCAGCTGATGCTAGAAGAGCTGGACAAAATGCTGCCGCAGGGGAAGTTTGCTCCAGCCATATCAAGGTTACAGAAACGGCTGGAGGTCTTCTGTGGCAGCAGCTGCTGCTGCAGCTACAGGGGGCCCACTTGTTGAGGGAGCAGACTGTTGAGCTGCTGCTCCTGCTGCTGGACGCAGCGGCAACACAGGGCATAATAACTCTGCTGTACCAGCAAGCGAAAGAGGAGGCACCGTCGCAACCGAGGCAGCAATGTGTGTTTGCTCTGCTTGTTGCGCCGCTTCTGGAGTTGCTGCATCAGCAAGCTGCAACGGTTCTACAGCCCCTTTGCCGAGCTGGCCTGTACTGCAGCGGCAAGAGCATTGGCTGCAGCAGAGCCTACATGCCGGCCCTTTGGCTGTCGGTGGTAAGGTCACTCTTCTTGTTGCTCTGTCTGCAGCGGCAGCGCTCCAGCAGCTCGGAGTGTATGTACAACAGCAACACTGCGGCAACCTTTGACTTGTGCAAGCTGGAGGGTGATGCCGCTGTAGCGGACGACAGACAGCCTCTGACGACCTCAGCAGCAGCTGCTGCAGCAGTTGCAGGGGCCGCTGCTGCTCTGGGAGATGCAGTAGCTGAAACAGCAGAGGACTCTAGTGCCCTCATTGCCATCGCTGCTGTGAGGGAAGCAGCAGCCTCCTTGCTACACGCCGGAGTTTTGCAGACGCTGGTGCTGCTGGCGACAGGTCCAGACAGCAGCACCGCCACCAAGAGCAGCAGCGCGGCTACAAGTCCGAAAGAGCCAAGCCGAGGAGTAGCGCAGCCAGGAGCGTTCCCGCTGCCCTCTCCATTGCCCTCGATTGCAGCAACTGCAGACATGACATCACCAGCTGGGGCAGCAGAGGGCCAAGTAGGGAGGCTGCAGCTTTGGGGAGTCCAGATCAAGGCAGCAGCAGCAGTCCTGCGTCTATGCAACATATTGCCAACAGCGGTAAGCTGCTGCTGCCGCTCTCTGTTCGTATGTCTCGCTGCTAGCTGCTGCTGCTGCCTGCTTCCTTCCGACAACAGGCGCTCCTGATAAGGAACGACTGGATGCGCGTGCGGCGAGGCAACCAAGCCCGCAGTTGCCTCCGTGGCTGCTTTTGTAATTCGTGCTGCTGTTTCTCCTGCGTTTTCTCCAAGGGCCATTGCTGCCGGTGGTAAGTATCCCCCATTTATTGGCGTGTGCCTGCTGCAGAAAGAGGAGTTGCTGCACATTCTTCACAGCGGGCTCTTGCCGCGGCAGCAGCAGCGCGAATCTCGCACTGCGATGGCAGCAGCAATAGCGCTGGTCCTCCGTAGCAGCAATACTGAGGAGTCTGCTTTGTTACCGGCGATTCTCTCCGAGGCTTCTCTGCTCGTGTGTCTTCTTTCAGGTGCTGCTGCTGCTACGCCGCAGCGGAATGGCAGCAGCACAGGCATGTCAGGACCGACGCAGCGTGAAGGGCCTGCTGCAGGCAGGCAGGAGCTCGCGGCTCGTTCCGCCGCGCATATTTCCCTGTTTAGCTAGTAACCGAAAACTCTTTTTCTTACCCTCGCTGTTGCAGCACATATGCCGTAACGATGACACTCAACAGTGTCCCGTGTTCTATAATTACCAACCCCAGCTGCATCTCCTACGGGTGCAATAGCGACTGCACTACTTGCAGGTGCTCCTCCTGCATGCTTTTTGTAGAGTGCCCGTACAGCAAGTGCTGCAGCGGCAATTCTGTTGCCGCGCAATTGAGCCGTCGGCAGAATTTCGATAGAGTCATTGTTGCTGGTACTGCTACTCGTGCGTGCTTTTTTTCCGCGCGCCGCTAGGGGTTTAGCAGATCAGCGAAGGTTTAGGCTATCAGTTCAACACCTGGATGTATATGCGACATCGGCAGCACATTGCAGCAGCAATACGGGGAAAGCTATTCTTCGCACCCACAAAAGTTACTCGCACTAGAGCTGTGAAGGAGGAAACAGCACTCCGTAGCGGCAGCTCTGTATAGTTGGTCGGAGCAAAGACTTTCTCGCTAGGCCCTCCTGCCACCACGGATGAGTGCGGGAACAAGTGAAGCGGCACACTGCACATTCTTTTGCTGCTGTTACAGGGGCACGTCTGTTGCAGATTCGGCTAGAAAAACTTCCCTAAGCCGAATGCGATTCTTGGCGGCTGCACTGTTAGGAAATCCGGCTGTCAGCCGTCTGCAGCAACGCACGACACGAGAAACGATCTGGCGTCTACGCATACGTCAACAAAGCGTGTTTTCTGGATGTAGAAGAAAAAGCAGGCATGCCTCTGGTTCCCCTGCGAGGACAGCAGTGTGTGTGTGTGCGAATGTTGGGTGGTGGCTCCGTAAGCTGCATTTGCAGTGGGGCAAATGGATGTGCGCATCTATTTCTCCATCGTTAGGAAGCTGGAAAGGGTGCCTCGATAAACCCAGCAGCTTCCACCACTGCCACTCTGTGAAGGGCCCTTATATGGAAAAGCTGTGCTGAGACGAATCGCTTACTCAGAGAGCTCATCTGCAAGCGCATTCTTGTGGAGTCTTCTAAAGCAGCAAATCGCATTGCACAAAGCGGACTCATCCCACGGTGCCTGAAAAAAGGGTAGCACGGATATCAAAGGGAAGGCGTCAATAGGGCCTGCGGGGGAAGACGGAAACAAAAACCAGGGGGAACTGAGGCAACATGTATAGCGGTGGAGTCTGTCTCCACGTAATTTTGATTATGCAGGGGTTAGGGCAGAGGAATGGCTGGGCTGCATCCGACGGGTGTCCTATGCATGAATACATAGAACTTTGTATTGAGGTATATAAACTCGGCTAGCTCGAAGGACAGAGGAAGAAGTGATGGAATCAATCAGCCTGGGGGGAGGGGGAAAGGGAAGGAAAGGAAAACGAGAGCCCTTTCACAAGCTGCCATGAACGAGTGGTACGATGTGCTGAAAAATGAAAACGAGTGTGCAGCGCAGACAGCGCGAAAGGCAGACCACGGTGAGAAGGTTGTTGAGGCGTTCGCTAGCCGTCTGAAAGTCGCCCCGCTGCATTGCACAGGCAGCCCGTCCTAAGCAACAAAAGAAGACGCATGCAAGGAGCACGTAGCTGGTCGTCTGCGGGGTAGCTGGCTAGATCAAGGGGGGCACACGGTTGGGAGCTGCGTGGAAATCTTCTTCATGAGATGGGAATGAGCGACGGACGCGAGGGATGATGCACGAACATCCGAGGCATACCTCCAAAAGAGCCGAAGGGGTGTGCAAAGGTATACGACAAAAGATGTAAGGGCCATCAGCACACCGATGGAAATACACATACCGTTTTCAATGAGCGCTGAGACGTCGCCTGCCCTCAGAGAGAGAGCCATTTCAGCATCTGTTAGGGAGGCCTCCGCCGAAACTGCATCTCCCTCCCCTGAAACAAGCAATCTTTGCAGTTTGGCCACGAGTGTATGAGGATGAGCCGGATCTCATTGGTTCATGCAGTGGCTTGCTCCTAAGCGGAATTTTCTCGCCAATCTTACATGCATAGAAACTCACAGAGATGATAAAGGGCGCGCGAAATCGACTGCTCCGCCGTCTCGTAGGCGCCGCTCGCCTGAAGCAGCAGCCAAACCGAATGTTTCAGCGTCGGGATCTAACACCACAACAATGAATGGGCTAGAAAAAAAGAGCAAACATTAAAAAGCGCAAGCACATACGGCTTCGAGGAGATAAAGGAGGCTTACAATATCGCTTTCTAGCTGCATCTTAGCCCTGTCCTCCCGGTGTATCCGCAGCAGCAACTGCAGCCGCAGCGCTCGCCTGCAAGAGCAGATGCAGACCACGCAGACAGCGCGTGCACACACATACACACACACACAGAGACACACATCCCTTCAACAGCACGATCAAAGCTGCACTCATACAAAGCCTATGCAGAACGACAAACGCTGCACCAGAAGCCGCTAAACTCACATTTCGGGAGTCGTACAGTTGTTACACAGTTGCAGTGCTCCCACAGGGTTTGTTTCGGCTGCAGATGCCGCTGCCAGGAATGCAGCGGCTGCGCAGGTTCTCCCTAGCTCCTGTAGCTGCTTCTGCATCTGTTGTCGCTCTGGATGCTGCTCTGTTTGACACTGAGGTAGAACCAAAACAGCATTACTCAGGCCTTGCCAAGGACGCTGCAGTATGAGCTGTGATAAAGGCAAGTCGCTCGTACATGCCGCAGTCATCATCATCATCCGCAATAAAGCAACAGCTTACATATCTTGTCGACAACAGAAAGAGTGCAAGGGCCTGTATGGCAGGGTTGCTGCAATGGAGCATTTGCTGTAGTTGTTGTGGGTGCTGCTTTTGCAGCACATGCGGCGACTGCAATAGCAGTTGTTTTTGTTGCTCGCAGGCTGCCACCAAGAACTCTCGCTGCTGCTCTGTATAGCTGTCGGTTGCTCGTATCGCCGATGCTTCGGCTCCGGCAGCTTTGTAGTACCCTGCTGCATACAGCTGCAGCGCCTGCAGCATCACGCATAAGAAAGCACGCGCACACGAACAGCGCTTGACACAGCAGTTTCTACGGCTGCTGCCCCTTCAGCTGCCTCGGGTTTACTCAATGCCGCGAAGTAATAGCAACTCATGACGTGATAGGACGCATTCTTCATTACCCTTCATTAGAGCGACTTGCCGCTAGGCTGATGCAGTGTGGTCCTGTACTTGTACCCCAGATGCAGATAGAGCAGAAGGCTTTGTATAAGCGCCGCAGTTAGGCTCACCTCAGTAAGAGGGCTCTCCATTGTGTCGATGTCGTTTGCTGCTGGCGTGTCAACTTGTATTGCTGGGGCGGCCGTAGAGATGTGAACGCAGTGGAATGCCACAGGTCGCCCTCTTTAATTTACAGTGAGCCTAGTAGCTCATAATTTATGTTCCATGTACACCGTTTCTATGTGTCGTTGTGTAATTGCTGCAACCATTGCTTTCCAGGCCGCTGCCGCATGCAATTGAACGCAGCTGCAGACAGGGCAGGAGCGCCCACAACAGTAGGAAGTCTCGAGTTGGATTTCCTTCTCCTTTGGCCTTTAAATCTGTGCATGTTTCTGGTCTGTAGACATGCCTTTTCGTGGCCTATTCGTCCATGTATTCCGTACAGCTGCTTCCCCGGCAATAGGTCGGGGGCCGTTCTCCAGTTTTAACGCCTTTCTCGAAGATACCGCACTCCACAGCCGCGAGATTATGAAGTAGCAGCCTGAACTCTTGGTATTAAGGCCTAGTCTCTTCTCCCCTGCTGCGCTGCAGTGCTCCAACGCTCACTCTTGTCTGGTATCCCAACATCCCTTCTGCAACTGCCGCTGCAGACGACGGCAGTTGCCCTTCCTTTGAGGGGTCATATGACTCTGCCATGAGCCTCAAACTCTCAGCTAGATTTCTGAGGCTCTCTGAACGGCACACATAAGCAGGCACAAGCACGCAAAAACATACACACGCTGTAACAAGAATGCGCCTCACCCCCATATTGGGAGTTCTTCTTGCTACGCTGGCAGCAGTAGTGGATGCAACACCAAGTGAGAACGACAAACAGGAACCACTTCATGTGGCTTATTCCCTGAATGCATCCGAGCAGCAGCAGCAGCAACAGCAGCAAAAGCAGCAGCGGCAGACAGATGCAGGAGGTGTACCTCCAGAGGGGGGGTGTTCCCCAACATCTCTCTCCAGCCCCCCGACAAACTGGAAGGCTAGCAGCAGAAGCAGCACCTGCCTTAGTAGCAACAGCGACGAGAGTAAGGACACTAATAGTCACATGCCGCCGAAGGAAGGGGTTGCTTCCGGCAGTGTTTCAAGTAGCAGCAGCAGCTCATCTTCTGTACGACCACAGTCGCAGCAAGAAGGCGCCACAGCAACGGAAAGTAGGCTGGTCTCAACAGCAGCAGTTGAGTTGCAGCGCCGCATCAGCAGTTGCAGAGACTTCCACTTGGATTCTGAAGGCTGCAGTCACGTAGGCCGATGCCGCTATTACCTCCTCCCCCAGCAGCTGCAGAATCGGCAGCCGCAACAGCAGCAGCAAGGCATTTGCTTGTTGGATAGAGTGTACCTGAAGCAGCTGGCAAACACCAATTGCTCATTGGAGCCAAAGTCTACCCTCCTCGCGACAGCACGAGATCTGCAGGAGTATGGATTCCTTTCGCTTTGCTGCTCCCGAGTTGCGTATTCTTCCTTTCTGCCGCTAGACTTTTGAGGACTAGTGATGCGGCACTGTTTATCATCTCCTTCGCGCTGTCGTTTTTGTGGATGCCTCAGGTTAGGAGCATTTGGCGCAGATGTCGCTGTGCTGCATCACATGCGTAGCAGCAGCAGCAGCAGGCAGCAGCTGTGTCGTCTGGTAACGCATGCTGCCGCTGCAGCAAATGCTGCTGTCGTGGCCCTCTTAGAGGCTGCAGCAGTGCAGCAGGATCAAATCAAGGAATTTACGTTGCAGAAGCAGCCGCAGTGGCCATGGAGACGAATGCAGCAGCAGCAACAACAGCAGCCATGGAGATCCCTAAATCGATGGGAGAAGCTCCTGAGGATAGTCTCTTACTGAACATTGCGAGCGGAAATCTGTGGATGCCTGATCATGCCAGCTGCATTGATCCTTTTATTGACTGGCATCCGGGGTGACTGACAGGCTGACTGTCTGGCTGTCAAGCAACGCGCCATGTTAGGCAGTCCTACGGCTACTTCTGCGTAGTGCTGGCGTGTTGTTTAGCTCATGAGACATCTAATCCAGTTCGCTGGATAGTCTGCCTGTAGGCTAGCTAGCTACCCGTCTGTGGGCCCACTGGATGCCCTGGCAGAATTCGTGCTCGTCAGCTGTCAAGAGTGTGTCTCTTCACCCTGGCAGTGTTCCTACTCGTCAACTGTCGGGGGTCTGTCTCTTCTACAGTGCGTCACTGGAGTCGTCTAGGTGTAGATCAGTAGTATTCTCACCCTTGTGAGAGCGCATTCCTGGCTGCAGGTGCCTCTGGGGTACCACAATGCTCCAGTCCCCCCAAGGTCTCCCGAAAAAAAACCTCTCGCTCCGAAGTCTTACCCAGACGAAGGAGCGAGTTATTAAATGAATTCTTAAAGGGTTCCCTCCTCCTCCGTCGCCTTGCCCTCATCACCCCCAAGGGCGTTGCATGAGGTGCGGGGCAGGGATGACAGCTAATAGTTCTGTCACCACACGCTCTGAACATATTACGAGTATCCATTTGCAGTCGGCTTTCGCATTGCAAGTCAGCTCACAGGCATCCAGCACTCCATTCCGGCGTGTAATGCTGAACTGCGCCACTCTGTAACAAACGATATATATATATATACGATAACCCAAACCAAAGGCGTCAATGCTTGACTAATCGCTAAACCGCCAGGAGTCGGGCACCAGGAAAGTGCCGAAAGATGCGCGGCACAAAAAATCAGCAGAGGCGACGCCAGATGTGCTACTGCCCAAGCGGACTGGACCCGGGACCAAGACACTAGGTTAGAAGGCAAAATGAGCATCCAACCTTAAAGAAGTAGAGGAAGGAGGACAGTTACACCCTTAGCAACAGCGAAGGTGCGTCCTCGGCATTACGCAACAAAATGGCCCCTCAATGGGTTGCGGTAATGTGAAGCCTGCAGCAACCTCGCCTACGAGAGGTTAAAACGGGTGAAACGAGTGAATAGGGCTATACAGAACACCATTTCATCAGTTTTCTGCTCGCCACTAAGCAGTGTCCACATAGCGGAGCAGCTATTGCGTGCAGCAGGGCTCATTGTTAAAGCCACACAGGGCATCAAAAGTAAGCAAGCAGAGAGCAGTGACATTACTAAAATGCGAAGGATTAACGGTTGCCAAAAAATGCTGCGAGCACATAAAGGCGTCATCAATGTGAAGTACGCAAAACTGTTCCCTTCAAGCCTTTGCCCATAGCTGGTCTCCCAGCGTTCACCGACGCTGGTCTTCTCCTTGTCAACTAACCAGAAGCCTCCGTGTAGTTAGGGTTCTCAATTCTCTGACTCGTCAAATCTAGCATCTGTAGAGTCCATCGGGGAGCCTGTATATATCCGCAGCAATCATCAAGCTTTCAGTGTGACCAGCCGATTACCCGAGCTTCGGTACAGTAAAGATCAAGAAAATCCTTGAGGAGACAGTGTTGCCCAACCAGACACCAAAACATTCGCCCCCCATCCCTTCCAGTTGAACTAGCAGCATATTCGTGGGCAGACGCTGGCATTTTGAATAAAAATATGGCCTCAAATTGATTCCTGCTGGCATTCAAAGCCTGAGCAAGGGTTTCCCGAAGAGTTAGGTAAGGCATGCTCAAAATGCAGCTACCACGGGATCCCGGGGAAACCATGCACGTTTAAATGCTACCTCGACCAGCGAAACTGGCGAGCCACATCTAACACTTTGCACCACACTAGTAATGCCCAACCAAGAAATAGTAAAAAATTGACTGGTTGATTCATTCGTTTTTATACCTTTTTTGTTTTGGGGGGTAAGGTTAGCGCGATGCAATAAAAAATAATGGAGCGTGCATGTGCAAATACCTTTGTGCTTTTGGCGAACTCGCAGGATGCAGCCGCGTGCATCTAAGCTGTCCTTCTTCTGTCATGTCGGAATCTCAGAGGGACCAGAGCAACGAAAGGTGGGAGCGTTCTAGCAAACACCCAACAGCAGCCATTTAAGTCTGTATAGAGTCTGACGTTATGTGCCCCCGAAGGAAGACCTTACATAAAGCCGTACTGTTGGTTGCACCTCACGGTTCGATGCAGCTTATCCCCCTTCATCCACTGGCTATGCGTGCAGTAAAATGCTTGGTTTTCGGTACACGAGTTTTGGGGTTTTAACAATCTAATTTGCAACTAAATAATTCACTATTCTTTGGCAACAGTCTGGATAGAGCCATTGGGGTGTGGAAGGCGTCGTGAAATAACGCCTATTCCCTATGCATAGGCTAGCTTATAAGCCGGTGTGAACGCAGTGGCCTCATACCTGATAAAAAGGTATTTCTACAGCCGTTTAAAATGCTTATGGATGCGTCGATGTGGTTGGGCCGACATCAATTGTTTGGCGGACGCAAGGATGGGCAAGTACTCTGAAATTTCACTACGTTGAAGATGTGCCTCACTGTGTAGCCCCCATAAGGAAAACGAGTGGCCGCGTGAGGCATCTTTATTCAATGAAGGATTTTTCCAATGGCGATCTTATTGGTGCACAATCATGCGTCCGCTTGCAGTGACTATTAGGGCTCAATCCTTTCTATCAAGCCTGCACTCATCGGTTTTTCAATGCTAGGATCAGCTCAAAAGTGAAGTTTGCAACGCCTGAGAACCCTGAAACAAGCTAACCTGTAATTATATCGGGGTAGCAAAAACTATGGAACTCTGATTTGCGAATGCCAGAGTGCAAACAAACTGCTCAGTGACGAACAGCTGCTATTCAGTGGTTTGTTTCAGGTCAACCTGGAGCGTCATGGCAAGCGATTTTACGATGCGCAGCGACGCAACAGATGAAAAGCCTACAGTCGCGAATTTCCTAAAACAAACACTTACTTGTGGTGACAGGAGCGAATGAGCCCAAATATTGGGGTTTTAGCTTGTGAGGAAGACCCTAATCGGAATCTAGGGCCTATCAACATAATAGCTGTATCAACTGGTCTAGCCTACAGTCTGAGGCGGTGGAGAATATAGAAGCCACACGCGTACTTGAGCAATCCCAGATAGTCCCGCAACACCGCAACTGCTTCATTTGTGGAAAGCATATGTTTCAATGCGGAGCTGGAAACGCATACAGAAAAGCAGAGAACTTGAACAGTAGACGAGGCCATTTGGAAGCAGTATGATTTCCGAGCAGGGAAAGCGCGTCAGGAAAACGGAAAGAACTGCACGCAGGCTGTGGCCACGTATAACGGGCATAACATGACAGTGCCGCGGGTATGGACCCGCCATAGATAAATTCTGTGGCCATGAAGGTTTGCATTTATGGTCAAATATTGCTAGCATTACTTGACGCTGAATATGAGGTGTATGCGCTTTAGGAGATGATGGTGCAAGAGTGCATCCTGCTTATTTACTCGCTACTGCTGTTTTTCTTAGACACAGGCTCGTTGATAGTCGCCGGAAATGGAAGGATTGGCAAGGCGAAAGCCTGTAACTGCCATCGTAAATCAAAAGGTAGTCTTTTCAGCAAGCTCCACAATTTCTCTTCTGGACTGGTGCACCATGACGTAAACCTAGACGTGCCACGGGGGAGCCAGTGGAAGGCGTACATGCGGTTCAATGACGGGTAGTAGCAATTAACCAAAGAACTTTTTCCTTTCCTAAAGAAAAGTAATTATTGCTTTCATGCCTGCAAACAGACGCTTTTACGAGCGGGGCTAGTGGTCCATTCCTAAGACGTAAAGACCGCTGTCTGCTCTTCTCCGCAGGATTTTAGTATGAAGCCCTTGTTGCTTCCCAGGTCACCTATTGTGTGGGAATTGAAGCTCAGAGCATGGGGAACGTGGAAGCTGGATGCCGCAAACAGTACGCGGCTTTCGCCTAGACATGAGCTTGTCAGGATCTGACCGCAGCCCTCACACACGGGCGTTCAGTGCCTGTGAAGCAGCAGAGCCCATACAAATTTTCAAACCTTCACCAACGGGCAGGCCCTGCACCTGTCGCTTATGGCACAGAGCGTTACACAGCAGGTATTGGGCGATTCTAGCTTACTAGGGCATGCCCATCTCCCCAGTTGGAGATTCGAAACGCACCGGGGCCTCCCCCTCTTGCCCTCCTGTGTCGATTACTTGGATGTGGCGGCCGTAGATACTGCTTGGCAGAGCAGCTACATGCAGTTATCCGTTAGCTGTTTCACGACGCAAAAATCAAGGATACAATTGAAGTGCCTCATTGCGAGAAGACAAGATCTGCCCAGTTCTGCAATGTGCTTGACCAAAGTGCATTGTCCCTACGCGTAGCTCACGAGCGCGTGCGCAATCACATGGGACTGATAGGCGCAAAACGTTTTTGTTGTTACATTGGGAGCATTATGATAGTGCCTACGGAGAAGCAGGAAGAGCGACATCACGGAATGCACCACCGCGATATTCCTTTATCGCTGTTCAGCAGGGTTCGTAATGCGCTGAGCTGGTCCTACGAACAGTTCTCGCACGGGAGATTTTCATCTATCAAGTGGTCTGCCATTTACGTGCACATTGTTGGTGCTTGTCGAGTGTCGTATGCATCTGTTACTGATTGCTACAACAATTCTAGCTCGTGGCCTCGCATCAAATGCCTAACTATCAAGCCCAGTATGGCTTTTTCCCCTCTTGGAGACTTGAGCAATTGCTTTTCTGAAGGTTGTAATGTTATCTCTTCCTACAGTTGCTGGTTGCAAAACTACAGAGCAAGGGATTCCAGGGATCGAGTTATCAAGTAGACATTCCAGAGCTGTTGTGCTGTGGGCGGGTGCACCAGTGGGGTGCACCCCCCGTCTTTGTTTTGGTAGCTAACTGTGAACTTTTACAGTCAACAAATGCCTCCCACAGGCCCACATCAGCCAATGCTGCTGACCGGCTACTTCACTGCTCACGTCCGCCAACCGGTACTTGGTTGGTAACTGCTGAAGCAGCGGCTCCTGCAGATGCCCTTCATCGCCTTGTTGTTTCGGATGAAACTCATTTAAAAACGCTTAATATCCTCCTAATAAAATCAAGAGCTTAGTTGGCTCCGACAGGAGTCAACTAAGGGGTTCTCCCCTTGCTATACGGTAGCCTGGCAGCACAGGCCAGCTGAACTGACACTACGAGGCAGAAACTCAGACACCAGAGGACAAACCCACCTACTTTGCAACTCAAGCTGCATCCTCTGTAGGCAGAATCTTTGCTGATCTGCGCGTTGCTTCCGTCCTTGCGTTCGTGCTGCTCCTGGAGCTCCTCTGCACCCAAGCAGTTTTTTTCTCTCGCTATCGTTACACCCTACTGCCCTGAGCCGCGCCCCTTGCCCAACCTTGCCTCTAGCCTCCCCTTCTACATCCAATTTCTTAAGCGTGCCTTGATTGTTTGTGAATCGCCTCCTCTGCGTAGTCTCCCTCTTGCCGTATCTCTTATGTGCCTCCCCTAGACCATACTCCACATTCAGCAACCCGTCTCCATCCCTTAAATATAGCTCTTCCATCAACACCGATAGTCATCCAGTTCATCAGCTACTTAGCACGCGCCCGCCCTTGCTTGTATACACTAAAGGGTGGTTGCCTCGGAAACGAAACCTCCCAGCTGACACGAAGTCATACAACGCCACTTGACAGCGACCCAGCCAGCTTGTTAAGTCAAAAACGTCACCGAGCTAGTCCTCGCCACAAACCAAACGTTCTTAGTCACAGCCCAGCCCCCCTACTTCAGTATACAGCCAACTAGGCACCTAGTCAGTTCGCTGTGCAGCGAGCCATCTAGCCGGCTCTGACAATAGGCATAGAGCCCAGCAACTATTGGTGAGCCCTCCAAGCCTCACACCGTACGACACGCGTCCAGATTTGACAGGAGTCGCAGAGGGGTCGCCTTTACTTGTTGGCCTCCTCGTAAGTGCCTCGATTCAGTCATCGAGGGCCTCCAGCTCCTCCTGATGAAAGGTAGAGGCACACAAGTCAACAAACACACATGACTGATTGTTTGCTCCCCTCTTGTACTCACTTCGATCCCCATCTCTCTACATTCCTGCTCGGCCCTTCTGACCGCTAGCAGTGCAAGCACAGCAATCTGGGTTCAAAACCAGAGAAGTCGTGAGGCAATCTGAATGTTTATGCAGCATATTACATGACAGTGTCTCTTTTTAAAAAAAAAAATTGTATTTTTTCCATCTCTGCTTCTTGCATTTCTTATTTTGCTAGCGGTCCTCCTCTCCCTGCTTTTAGATACTTACTGGCGTAAGGTCCTCCACGAAAAGCTCAGCCTTGATCGGCTGCGCGTCTTTCTCTGCCTTCGCCTTTGGCTCTGACTGAACCCCTTCACCGTCTGTCTCTTGCTCCTGTCGCTTGAGACTCTCCTTCCCCCCGCTGCTGCCTCCCTCCTCAGCATCCTTCCCATCCTCTTGCAGAGCAACGACTCGCGCTGCTGCGTTCGCCTCATCAAGGGTTTCCTGATTTCTGCGCATCTGCAAACATTCCAAAAAGCACTGGGGAAGCCATGCAACCCGGCAACGAACACAAGAACAACAACCCCTACGCCAACGGGTTCGTGCAGCCTTCCATTTGCCTTTTTTTCGCAAAGACAACACACTCCCTTTCGGCGAACTGACCTCTTCTGCCCAATCCAGATCTTCCTCATAGTCCCTCTCATCAGCTGCGCCCTCACTGTCAACGAACAGAGACGGATTGAAAGAAAATAAGTCCTTCCCAGAGAGAAGCGGGCCTGTGCCAGCTGCCCCCTTTGCGGCCTTCTTAGCATCCTTCTGCTGCTGCTCCAACTCAGACAGCCGCTCAGCCTCCTTGCGAGCTTTCCAGGCGGCAAAAGTCTCCGCTGTTACGGGGGTGCCTCCTGGAGGCAGTGCTTGACGCTGCGAGACAAAGCCGCCGGCAGGGCAAGAAAACGCAATTCGCCTGCCAGCCGTGGGGCGACTACACAAGAAAGCGCATGCATGCCTCCATACAAAAGGACGACATGCAAGGACCAACACGCCCATAGTACACCCCTTCAACATGCTCAGTGACAGACCTCTCTCTCGACCTTTTCCTCAATGGGCTCCTCCTCTTCCTCCGCGACCAGCTCCTCCCCTTCGCCTTTTAACACATAGCCTAAATCGTTAACCCGCACAAACACCCTCCATAGCTGCATAGCCTGCACTCCGCATATGCGGAGGGGCGGCCATGTCTGCATGCTTGCATGCACCGAATTCCATGAGCCTAGATCCCAAACCTCAAAGTTCCCATCCCGCCTGCCACCTCTCCCTGGCGCGCTCCGCCTCTCTGTCCCTACAAATATGTGTACAGTATAGTTGATATGCGTGCAAACGCACAGACATGCAAAACATGGAGCCAGCCTACACCCTCTATCGTACCTTGTGGAAGGCAATGCCTGTATTTGCACGCGTCTCCTCCGTTAGGGCAGACCCAAAACCAGCCATATTGCTTTCGCTCTACTGCCTCCAAGAAATACTTGCATACAATCGCAGTTTCTGTATCAACGTCTTCTCCGCCACCCCCTCCCGGCCGAACATATCCATCTAGGCCCCAACACACAAGCACCACGCAGAAACCTTACGCCAATGATTCGCTTCCCCAGCCCAACTCCCATAATAATCATAACTATAGCCACAAATGCGAGCCAGAAAGGGTCTGACTTTGGGAATTTCGCGAATAAATTCAGGAGCGTACTCTGTTCCCGTTGATCAATATAGAGGTCTATCTTCTGTTCAAGTTTCGACTCCTTAGGATCGTATGTCCCCACAGTCGTTTCGCTCGCAACCTTCTTCACATTTTCCGTGCCTAAACGCGACAACACCACAAACTTCTCGAAGCTTCTGGTCGCCAAAGCTAAACCCGCGTGTAATTCACAGCTGCTGCACTGCAAACCTAGGCCATATGTATGTATGTATTTCTAGCCCCTCCCTCCAAATCCTCATCCCAATTGAGAGAAAGCAAGCAGCCGTGTGTGCCCCTTCTCACCCTTGAAAAGGGCCTGTAAAAGCAACTGCTGCTGGAGCTGCGCCTTCTTGAGCTGCTGCTCCTCCTTCTTCTTGGCAATCTCCTGAGCCTCTCCCCCCTTCTGGGGGCCCTTGACGGACTGCTGCACCGACTTGATGAACCTAAATTGCCATTAGACATACACCACCACCAAGGGAAACCTGCTTAACTCGGCGCTATATGGCCGCTACCACCAAGGCCCGGGTCGTTTAATGTATATAGATGCATGCGGCGGCTCTTAGAGATGGGGCTGTACAGGCAGGAGATCCTGAAGAGTGGATGCACGTAATTTCTCTCGCTAAGCCTAAACGGAAAAGGAATGCGCTGCGAAAAATGCGCCCTTCCCCCCTCCTTCCCTTAATCGCTAAGCTCGGGATCCTACTTTTGTACGGCTTTGGATTTGTTCTTATTCTTCAGTCCAAAGGTCTTGTCCTCGATGACCTTCTGTTTTTCCTTCTCCAAGGCCTTCTGTTGCCCCCTCTCGCTCTTCGCATCCTTCTTCTTTGCAGGCGGCATTCTCCAACGTGCTGTCTGCGTGCCTTTGAAATACGCTAACACGATGCCCAAGAGGCCCTCTTGTCCCTTGACAGCAGAGAGCGCGTCTCAAAGGACGAGCACGCGCTACTAGAGGAGTGAAAGAAAGGAACACTTCGCCGAGTCAGCTAACTTTGGGGAAAAATAGGACCTAGGGTTCAAACTGCATCCTCTTAGGTCCCCTCGCAGACTGCTTCACCGACTTCCGTGGATATCCCGGATTTTTGCACCTCAGGCTGAGCCCTCTGCCCCGAACCCCAGACGCACACTAAAAAAAGAAGCAGCAAGGTCGGTCGATCTGCTGGCTTTTAGAACGGGCTCTCAGAGCCCTGCAGAAAGGGTTACAGGATCTAGGACTCGCATAAAACGATACATACCTGGTCCTTCCGCCCCTCCCCCACGCAAGTGAAAGCAGAAGGAAAGCTTTCCAGTAGCAAGTGGCCAGCACGAAGGGTCTGTGCTCCACAGGCTTTCAGGCTGAAATGTGCAGACGCAGGCGCTCTAGAGGGGCCCACAGCCCCGTAGGGGGCTGTAGTATTCCAGCCCCAAGAGTGAAACGACTCCAAGCCCTGTGCACGCTTTTCGCATGATCCAAAACTTGAAATTCAGAAACCGATGAGCCAGAAACACGATTTTTCGCGCATTTCTGCTGTACCTGTCGAGGTTCCAACCGGGTTACCTGCCTCCTTAGCCCTACCTGCCTTCGCAGATGCCACTTTGAGCGCATGAGAAATCGATGACAACTCGGGATGCCTGTTGCACACTGCGTCTTCCTCCTCAGTACCGTCAAGGACACGAAGTGACGAGTCACGGGAGGGGTGTTTAGAGTCCTCGTGCAGCACTCTCCCTGCACCAGCCACAGCTTTGCTACCCCGTCTGATATGACCGGACGGAATTACGTGCTTCAGCGTGCCGCTGTCGTTGCTTCTCTGTCAGCTCAGGCTTCCTGCGCCTGCGCTAACAGAGAAGCATCCCGAGGGATGATAGCAGCGGCAGCAACAACATCGAGCCGCTTCGCTCCGCGTGTTCGCTTCCAGGGAAGGCATGCTGTCCCGCCGCTCGAGGTGCAACTTGCATCTGCCTTCTCAGAAACGCGAACGCTAGTGAAACTTGCCACTGCTTCAGCGGCGAGGACGTGGAGGGGCTTTGCCAGTGCAGCGGCAGCAATAACACACTCGCCAGAAGATGAAAGGCCGCAAGCGAGCCGCCGACGGCAAAATCGCGCTGAGCAGCGCCCCCGTAAGAACGCCGCGGTAGCACATCTGGAGGAATCAGCGAATTCAGAATCAGAATCTGTGCCAGATGCGTCACAGGCGGCCGGGAGCGAAACACCATCCCCCGCTGGAGCAGACAAGCAACAGCAACAGCAGAAAACGCCAGCTGCGCCAGAAGCTACAGCAGAAGGAAAGCGGCAAAAGCAGCAGGCTCGGAAGCTGGAAGCGACCTCTGCGCGCTCAAAGAAGCAGGTGGAATCACTACAGTCAAAAAGCGTGCCTGGAGGAGCTGCTGGGGCAAGCGTGTCGGGTGCACCTGTCAGCAAAGAAGGTGAGGACAGTTTTAAGAAGGGAGCTGCTGTCGAAAGTTCCCCCCTCTCTCCAGAAGCACCTAGAGACGCGGCAACACAGGCAGGAAGTAATGCGTCAGAAGCACGGCCACTAGGGCGTGTATCCGTTTATGATAGCTTTTGCGCGATGTCGGAAGCCACAGCAGAGCCGTCCTTGAAAGAGGCTCTCGGACGGTTTGTAGAAGCAGCAAGAGAACAGAGTCGGCGCACGGGGGCCCTTGCGTGGAGCACCTTCCAGGGGTGGCCACCAAGGTCTAGAATTAGAGTCGGAGACGAGCACTCCAAGGTAAGAAAGAGGAAGGTTCTAGAGAGGCGTTTTCTTGCGCAAGTATGTCTGCACGGGAGCGTTGAGAGGGGGGTGGTGCCTCCATATACGTGGGGCTTCATGTGCGCGTGCGTTCGGACTATGATGTCTGCATGTGCAGTTTGGCCCTTTGGGAAGGGAGGTCTTCCTCTTTAACCGGCAATTGGCGGGAGGTGTTTTAGAGCCGTGCCTTGCGATTAGCTGTGACAAGCGCTGTGTGCTACTGCTGAACGAGGCAGAGTTTAAGGCGCTTGTCAGTCTGCTGCCCTGGATCAAGCAGGAGCTCGCAGAAACGAAAAAGCTGCTCTGAGGCATTTGCGACAAGGGCAGCTTTTTTGTTGCTGTCTCCGGACTGCATGTCGCCTTGTCCTTGTGGCTGCCTTTGGCGCAGTAGGAGGAAACCGTAGACTGCGCCACAGCACGTAGCGCGAAACCTTCTAGAGGGTGCGTGGGTTTGGGGAAGTGGTTAACTGCAGAGGTTTAGACGTTGTCTGCCTGCTCCCATTTAGAGTGCCTTTCGGCGTTGCTTTTGACGGAATTCGCGGGGGAACTGTGAATGCGGCAGCGTATTGTTAAAGCCACCAAGCTTTCTTTTAGCGCGGAAGAAGGCGCTTTAGGCAAGACGAGGAGGGGTGCGTGAATGGGGGGCAAGAACACGGATTTTTTGAGCCAAGAGCAGCGGGAGATTTTAGGTGGGGGGGACGTAGAAAGAATACGAAACGCAGAGGAGGTTTGACTTATTATTAGCAACAGCGGGGGGAGTTAGGACGGAGAAGAGGGGGAAACAAGAGGCCACAACCAATAAAAGATCGGAGTACATAGGCAGTGAGAATGCTTTTCTCAATGCAGCTGCATTGAGAAAAGCACGCACGCTTTGCCTAGGGCGACCTCGGAGTTCCCTGAGATGGTCCCTTCCAATCGGCTATATGTTTGAGTGCTTCTACATGAAATCCCTCTTTCGTTTGGCGTCCGTTAGGCCCTATATTCCGCTCCACCGAGCCACGATTTTGCGATTTCAATTTCACCTGCCTCCCTGCTGAGTGCCTCTCTCTAAGTAAGTGGCAGTGGCGCGCGGCGTGTGTGCGCACTGCCTTCTCCGAACGTATTGCTGCCCGCCTGCCTATTTCTATTTCTCTCTGTCCCTGCGTGCCCGTTCGTCACTGCCCCCCTTCCCTCGTCTTTCGCTCCGGAGCGGGAGAAGAAGAGGCCCCCAGTGTCTTATGCGTGCTGTTGGGCACCGACATAACGGTTACTCCTGACGTCTCCCCCTGTTTTCCGCGGCCCAGCAAGCGCCATAATACAGAAAAACGCCAATTATCTCCAGAAGCTAGGAACCAGAGCGCCTACACGGCCAGCCCTCGACGTGCTGTACTGCACACGCTCCATGGACGGCTTGGCTTCCGTTTCGAGGGCCTGCACAGCGCACTGACTTCTTGTTCTTCTCAGCTCGGCTTGTGCGACCAGGAGTCTAGGATTTCGGAATATTGTATCACAGAAACTGGGGCTCTATGGACAGGCTCTACGCAAGAGCCAGTTCGTAGATCGGGACCAAGGAGCCGGCAACCTGTGCTCCTTCCAGGTGTCTTGCAGACGCAGTTTGCACTCATGGAGACCTCCAGCAGCACGGGCTTTGACCTCGACGGCCTGATTGCTTCAACATTGGATGATTTAGGCCAGCAGGAGTCAGGGCAGGAGCGACCTAAGCAGCAGCACCACCCCCTCCACCACAGCCAGCTCGAAGAGCATGCTGCGCACGTGGATCATGCAGTAGCAGCAGCAAAAGCGGCAGTGTCTGCAGCAACAGCGGCGGCGCTGGACACCAGAAGTCCATTAGCGCGAACGGAAGGCAGAGACGTGCCGAAGGAAGGGGAAGCACCGGCAGACACGACGGCCGACCCTCTCAGCTTCTGCCTGAAGGGCTTAGAGCGCGAACTGCAGCATCTTAGAGAATCTTCGAACCCTCCACCACCAGCTGTCGATCTAACAACATCATTAGGAGCAGGAGGGCCCCCCGCAACCGCAGGGACGGATGACACTGCAGGGCTCTTCAGTTTGCTGCATACACTGACTTCCGTGCTGCAGGGAATCGACAAAGATCCTGCTTCCTCTTCCGGAACTCGCAAGGAGGCGGCACCACAGGCAGCTTCAGGCCTTGCTGCACTTGCTGCAGCGCTGCACAACGTAGGATGTGAGACTCCTCCCTTATGCACCCTTGCGGAGCCGCTACAGCAAGTGCTGAAGTTTTACGAGCCTTGGATTCAGGAGCAGCAGCAACAGGAGGCACCAACGGTTTCCGCTGAGGATCTACAGCGCTACCAGCGGCAGGTTGCTGTCTACAAACGCATTGTACGCCTATGTGCTGAGCAGCGGCAGCAAAGCCCGCAAACAGAAGCAACAGAGTCTGTTGCAGCAACAGCAGCAACGTGGCAGCAGTTGCTTGAGGTCCAGCAGCTGTTAGAAGAGGCCTGCACTCTCGGTGATCTACCCCCCGAAGTGCAGCAGCAGCTCAACGCTGCAGAAGAGGCAGCAACAGCAGCCTCTGCTGGCACACCCTCATCTTCGGTTTCGTCGTCTGCCTCAAAGGCAGCGCCTACACAGTCAAACCTCCAGCAGCAGCCGTCTAACTTGGCTGCATCTAGGGCTGACGCGAGTAGCATGCAGCAGCACAGCTGCAACAGCGAGGGCAGCACTAACAAGGATGACAGCACCGGAAGCAATGAGCTTTCGGAATTCTTAGGCTTTGTGGGGGCCTTGCAGTCTGCTGCTGCAGCGGAAGGTATCGACCTGCTGGATCCTACGTTGTTGGAGCATGTTATGAAGGGGGAGGAGGCCGATCCACGCATCACCACTCTGCTGAACAATGTTGAGCAGCAGCAACAGGCTCAGCAGCAGCAGAAAAGACCAATGGATCTTAAAGAAGCCGAGCAGAGGTGCAGACAGCAATAGCTGCTGCGGATGCTGCCGTAGGTGGCTGGAGAGAGACGCAACTGTGCCACTACTTCCTGCACTGCTAGCTTAGCGTTTTAGGGGTCTCACACAGTTGTACGTTTCACAACTACGCAACCAAGTGCAGCAGCAGCCGCCCGTGCGGGGCGCGCATTTCAGAGTTTGTTGCTGTAGTAGCCTCTCGGCACGCCACACGCGCGTCTACTACACAAGTCCTCTATTTTTCCCCGTAAAGGCGGGGAGGGAACGGGGAGACTGGAGTGCCACTTACCACTGTTCGGACACATGCAATTAATTGCTGCTGCTGCACGGTACCCATAGCACGTGAACCTCCGCGGCCGCAACGCTACTAACTGCGGCACCTGTTACTTCGACACACAGCATCAGCAATCCCTGCAGTGCTCCGTGCGGTAGATTGTAAGCAATGACTAGGTGACATATCCAATCGAATTCGGATAGCTGTAGCGCTCTCTACGTCTTCTGAGTTGCCGGAGGCAGATGCACGGTTCCTGGGTACATCGTATGGACGCAACTTGCGGCAGTTCGCTAGTGATGCCACCAGGTGCCATCTGCTTCCATCACAGTGACTTGCTCCAGCTCCTCAAGGCTACCAACGGCGGCGGTAGCAACGGCCCTCAGAGTTGGCACTGCAGCGGGGAGCATCCACGTGCGGGTTCCGAAGGCTATGAAGTGCGGGTTGTTGGAAAAGTCTCTTTGGTTTGGGAGCTTGGGAATATAGACTACGAAGCGCAATATCTGCTGTTGCGGCAGCTGCATCGCGTCTGGAACGAGCGGCTGGTGCCTTTCGTGATGCTTTTGTGCTCCCCGCAGTGCAAACTCCGGCGACGACCGTCTCTTGAAGTTCGCTTGTTGGGACTGCCAGTCGAACACGCCCCACAGCTGTAGCAGCTGTAGAGACAGCTCATAGGTCTTGTGTCCCCTCCGCCTGTGCCCTTGGTAGGAGCGGCAGACGGCCCTGTTGAACAGCAGTTGCTCTATGTCGTCTGGCATTGGCTGTACAGCGGCGTGCCTGCAGAAGGCATCGGGCAGCGGTAGCACAAGCAATGTGGCGAACCTGTTCCGCTTCGACCCCCCACCCCAACTTTAGCCGCCAATGACGCAGCGCAGCCACGCAAGCGGCAGCCATAAAATAACGCAAGCACCCTCAGCAGCAGCCTCAACAACAGCAACAGCAGGCGCTTACTGGTTCAGCGGAGCAAGCTCGACCGGGAGCCTGTGCGGAAGCAGGGCCACGGGAGTATCCGCTGCATCTGCTTCGACTGCAGCTGCCGCCGATTGTGGAAAGGTTATCACTGACGCGAGTGCTGCCTGCTGCAGCAGCTCTGTTGCCGAAACAGATGTCTTGAATTCATCGCTGACCCCTGCGGCGCTGCGTGGAGAGATCGCCATGTCACCGGTTAGCGTGCTAAACACGGCAACCCGCCGGAAATGAGGCAGTAGCGAGCCGTCGCGTTGCGTTTCTGCCGCTGCTAAGGAGCAGAGTAGAAGCGCAGGATCATGGTGAATGTACACGAATTTGCTGGCCCCTCCCCAGGCGAGTAGCGTGGGTGCAGGCATGTCAGGCCTCAGTAGCCGGTGAGCCATCTCTGCTGTCGAAACGGCTGCCGTTATCGTAGGCCCCAAGTGTTCAGCTGCTTCAGGTAGGCGGGGAACTAACCGCACGCCAGCGAGTGCAGGCACAGTAAACGTTGCTGAGGTCAGAGAAAAGAAAGGAGAGCGTAGTAGACGCTGCAGCTTCTCCGTTGCTTCGCCCGCTGCCGCTGCTGGTGCCCCCTGCAGCAATGACAGTCCATGCAAGCACCGCAACAGACACTCAACGACGCTCTCAGAAATATGGGGCAGCCGAAGCACCAGTTCCAGCGACCCTATCAGCATATATAGCGCGGTTGACAGAAGACGATATGTATAAATAAATATATATATATTTATATTCGCAGCAAACGCAACGGGTAACGAAATGTAGCAGCCACAGCGAGAGGGTCACCTGTCCCTTCCAGATTCGGTCGTCTGTGGCTAGGAGAGCGCGTGCGATGATAGAGCCGTGGCATGCCGAGTGCAGATAAATGTGGACTCTCTTGCAGCCTTTGAAGAATCCGGTGCCCTGCAGCATCGGCGCAGAGGTATTTGCCTCTGCCGGGTCTAAATTTGTTGCTTCGGCAGGGACTGGTTCCGTATTCGAGGCGAGAGCTTGGGAGAGAAGGGACGCAACTTCACGGATCTGGGTGTAAAGACACCCAGATAGCTGCGACGCTTGTGGTGTCATCAGTAGGAGTTTGAAAAACTGCGGCATCATCGAATCCAAGGCGCACAACACGCAATCACCGTGAGACGTCCGTTGAGGCGACAAAGGCATGCTTACTTATTGCACAGGAGCACAGTAGTCACTGCAGCAACAGAGCACCCCCCAGATTTCGAGTGGCAGCAAGAGGGGGCCAGGCAGTGTACTTCCAGAAGTATAGAAGGTAAAATTTTTTTTTTCGCACGGGTGCAGAGAAGAAGTGCGGCGCAGATACAGAGCAGTCCTAGGCACCGAGGAGAAGCCAGGCCAAGGGAGGGGCAGGAACGAGGCAGTAGCGGCATAGAAGCAGTAGAGAAGTTTTAAAGCACTCTGACAAGGAGCCATGGGAGGGGCTGTACTAAGGGGTGGAGCTGCAATATGCACGCCTCCTAACGGCAGTGGACGGACTCGAGCCTGCTTCTCGAATTGTTTCTTGAAGAAATACCACTGCCAAGACCACGTCCAACGCCACCGTCGTCGAGAATGGAAGTCCCTTCCGTGTATCAGAGCGAGAAAGCCGCATTCTTGAGCTGCTTCTAGAGCTGCAACTGTAGCTGCGGAGGCTTTGGGATCGACTGCCTTTGGATCCGGCTCTGCACGATAAAAGTATGGCCGATACTCTGTCCAGCTCCTGACATACTCTGGTGCCGAGAAGCCCTTAGAAGAACCTTCGGTGGGGGCCTTTGTAAGCGCGTGGTCAGAGCTGACGTTGTTGTCGCGGCTTTCGCAATAGGGTGGCTCTTCTTCGGCAAACTTCAGCTGGCGAAAGCGGATAGTCCCCTGAAGAGAGAAGCAGCAAGGCGCCAGAAAGTCTTGGGTCTAAGATGCAGCAGGGTGCAGGAATTACTACGCTGGCCACACGTATGAGAACACCGACCGCGTGTCGCGTGTGCCAGCTGCCCGAGAAATAAACGCAGCTTCTGTTGCCGCCTCGTTCAAAAGACACATCTGACAGTCCAGTGTGGCTGCCTCTACGCAAACACCCGCCTGTTGGAGGGAGCCCGCCTAGCCTCGACACAGGGGGCAGCTTCAGAAGCAGCAGCTGCAGCCACACGCAAGGAGAGGCCAAGCAGCAAGCGCCAGTTACAGCTACCCACCTCATTTGGAGTTGATGCCCGCGCTTTCAAGCTCAGCAGCGACAGAACAATGACGGCGAAGGCGAAATGCATCTTGCGGTCCTTCCGTGAGCGCCTGCAAGAACAAAGAGATCAACGTTCTACACGTGCATGCGCAGTGCAGAGTCCACATAATAGTGCATGCCATAAAGGGGTTCCCGGAAAGGCACGAGAGATCTCCAAGGAGCAGGTTGCCTTGCTACGTGAGGGCGCCGCCACTGCTAGAGAACCAAGTCGCCGCATTCAGTAGGGCTTAATAAAAGCCTGTCGGACGGGGTTGCTGGCAAGGAATTTCCTTCACAGGATGTTGAAAGGGCTTACCAGAGCGATGGTTTTTGCCTGCTTCACAGCCGGTCGCTTGGGAACCCCCTGTGTGACTGGTCTGCCTAGGAACTTCCTCGGCCTTCTCGTCTTTTCCCGCAGCACTCTCAGCACTGCCCAGATTATAATTCTGAATGCATGCAGAATTTCTAAACAGCGCTATCTGTTTGCCTGTGCGCGCGTTTCTTGCCAGCTCGACCCGCCGCCGCCCCTGCCACGCAGGAACCTGAGGCCACAGTGGCCCCCACTGAGAGGCACGAGTTGATCTTCGTCAAGCTGCTAGTGCTTCCGAAGCCTTACTCCGCAAAGGTGTTTTTAAATCCGAATTTATGTGTCCACAGAGAAGCAACATGGGCATTCGGATGTCTACACCCTGGCCTTCTGCGCTCTTGCCGTGACTCGCGTGTGCAAGGGACAGAGGAGGACGCAGGGAAGGCGGCACAGAGAGAGCGAGAGACGCCTCCTTCTAAGGCCCCACACCCCTGGCACTGATTATATCAGGATTCTCCGATGTCAGCGCGGACCAAGTCGGCAGCTTTATTTCACCACTTTCCCCACCACCTGTAGCCTCAGTTGCTGCGTCCCCATTAGGTAGAGGACGGCCTAGCAACTGAGGGAGCCTGTCTTGCCCAGTCGCTGGCTATGGGCAGCAGGCCGCAGCTCAGGCTGCAGAGGCTGTTGGCACTTCTCCTGCTCTTCGTCACGCTGCACTGCCCGCAAAAGGCTTCCTGTAGGCAGCTGAAGCATGGCAGCACCGCCTCGCGGTCCAGAGTGTGTAGAAGAAGAAGCACTGCAGCCGCCTTTCTGACGGACAGAGGCTTAGAGGGCGCCTCTAGAGGATTTTTTTCGGGGAGCTCTCGGAAGGCGTCTCCCCCCGAACGCGGTCTCGGGCAGTCCCCGCTCCTGCCTACAGAGAATAGGAAAGAATCGGCATACGAAACTCCCTCGAAGGCTCCGTCATTTGCGCGAAAAAAACATGCCCAAGTGCAGACTGCTGAAAGCTCCTCCTTAAGAGCTCGAAGCAGGCGGCGCACTGCCCCACCCGCAGAAGGAGCAACAATCGACCCCCCAACTTGCGAGACATCTGCTAAAAGTCCGTCTGTAACTGGATGCACGGCAGCAGCAGACGCATTGGCAGTGATCGCGTCAGAGGAAGAAGACGCAGCTGACTCCCCTGTGTTGCAGAATGAAGGATCCGTGCGGTGGCTTCCACAGTCTCTCGCGTCCTTTCAGGTCCCCCCTGCGACGCTTCAGCAGCTGCGCTCCGATGCGGCTGCAGTCACGAATGCCGCGATCACGCCTTGGTCTGCCATAGCAGCTTCTCGCTTCGTGGATATAGCGACGGATACCTTTGTTCCCCAAGCCGCAGCCTCTAGTGCTGCCGCAGTCACCGCAGCACGAGAGGCTGCGTGGAGTGCAGCGCAGCGGAGATGCACTGCGCAGGATATCGCAGAAGCCGCTAGAGCCGCGGCAGAAGCAGCACAGGCCTCAGTCGCTGCATCTGCAGACGCTGGGAGCTCTAGAAAAACAGCGGCTGCTCCTGCTGCTGCTCCTGCTGCTGCTCCTGCTGCAGGAAAAGCCACTGCTGGGGTGTCTGGGGGCCAGGGGAGCTTCAAAGACGCTTCCGAAGGCGACTTGTGGGGGGATGTGGGCAGGATGCTACGGTCGCTGATAGAGGAAGAAGAGGAGGGAAATGGAAGCTCGCAAGCGTCGAGGAAGCAAGGGTCTGGCAGCGCAGATGCAGCAATGACTCCCAGAAGGAAGCAGCACAAACGGACGCCAGAGGAGGAAGCAGCAACAACAGAGGACGAGGAGATCGACATCAGCGTAGAGCCTCGCTTCATCCCTGAAACGTGGACAGATGTGCCAAGGCCTTTTCTTGTAAGCGAAACGCAGCTGACTACGCACACGTGCTCCCTAGATGATAAAAACGCAGCGCTATAGGAGCGCGTATTGCCGATTCTGCCGCGAGTTCCCCTGCTTCGTTTTCCCTGCCTATCTATAGACATTCGTGTAGGTAGGCCACTTGCAGAGGCCCCCCTCGCTTTGTAGCCCATTTATGTGTCTCCCTGCATCCCCTTTGTGGAGCTCTCTCACCTTCCTTCTGCAGAATTCTACCGTGATCTCAACGCTATCTGCCAGCCACCTCTCCAAGCCGGACATAGACACCACCCACACGCACTTGAGAAACCGACTGCACCTTCAGTTTGTCTCACCCCTAGAGAAGCGGCGACAGGTACTGCAATGCATTCCCGTATCAGAAGCCGCCGCATAAGCACGTTCAGGAGGCCCTCTGTATATGGGGAGGCTTTCAGAACCAGGGCATCTTTTCCTGCTTTTCGGATATTTACGCCTGTCTTACGCACGTGCCTATAGATACCAAGATCTAGATGCATATTGCTTTTACATCTATCCGATAACAGTTCACCCGTGGCTACGGTTACGCCTTAGGTCTGTCCCTCCTTCTAAGGAATACATATCTGTGCGTGTGTGTATGTATGTGACTGTCTGTCTGTGTGTATGTATGTATATGTCTGTATATGTGTGTATCTGTGTGTATATTTGTATGTGTGTGTTTCTCGCCGTCTGGTTGTCTGTCTCTCTGTCTACCAGCGTCTGTCTGCGTCTTCGTCCGTAGCTTCCTGTGCTTCTGTATGCATACGGGTTTGGGCGAAAAGCATGTTTTCCTTTCTGGTTGTGCCGCTACTGTGATGGGTTGGACAACTTTGCACAGCGTACTGCGTGACATGCAGCGCCGCTATTTCGAAGGGCGATGATATTACTCCTTGTACACATGACAATCTGTCTCTTCACATTGCATGTGACGATAGGTCCACCCCCATTTCCATCTTTGTGCTGGCGTCATGCTGCATTAGGCCTTCTGGCTTCAATCTCTAGGCGTTGCTGTCCGCTCCTTAGAAACACGCGCTGCTGCGGCCGCCTCTTGGCTTCGACGAAGACACCGAGAACAACAGTATCGGCAGTACAAGACGGACTGGCGACTTCAGCAGGAGGCGCAGGATTCTGCAAGCAAAGGAGACATGGGGTCTGCAGCAGAAACGGAAGCGGAACCAGGTGGGTAGGCTACAGCTCATAGGATACACACATGGAAGCAGCGAAGGACATCAGGCAGGCATTGGACAAGCCCTTAGGGGCGGCTTTTGCATGCGCCACTGAGTATATCGCAGCAGGTGTTGCCTTTAACGCCTGGTCCGCTGTCTCACGAAATGCATGTTTCGCAGAGGCACCGCCGTTCCCCCTCCCCGCCAGCCTCACAAACATTAATCATAGGTTCTACAACGCATTCAAGCTGATGAATACAGCGGGGTGGTGCGCGATACTGTCGAATGTCACGCTGTTCGCTGTGAGGGTTAGAAAGGTTGCGGCAGAGGAGACTAACTGCTGTCTCTACCCAATGGTGGTCCAGGGATGCCACTCGCCGGTTCTTGTGGGTCGTGCTGCTGCTGCTTCCACAAATCGTGCGTCTGCAGCTACGTGTACTGTACTGCCTGAATCTCCCTTTGTCGCTTTGTCCGCGCCGCTTTTTTGTCCTTGCCGCAGGAATGCATGCGTAGATCTACCAACGCCGCACTCTCGCTTGGAAAGCTGGCGGTTGGGCTCCGACTTGCGCCGTCTCTACTTTTCCCGCTTTGATGCGCGTGTTTCCCTTCGCCGCAAGCTGCTGCCTGAGCATCTGAAAGACTACGTCCTTCCGCACGCCGACGCCGTCCTTGTAATGCGTGACGGTGTTGTGGATCCTACCCTCAGCCGAGGATCAGCGTTTTTATCAACTGAGCTCGCTGATCAAGAGGAGGTGGGGGGCGTTGCAGCTAGCTCGCTTGAAGGCATGGAGTCAAAGAACCCTCACGAAAAAGTCAAACACCACAACGGCGAGCAGAAAGGGGACTGCGGGTGTGGCGACACCCAAGCAAAAGGGGCAAACACACCGCTGGCACCCGCGTCGTCGAAGCAGGAAGCGGGGGAAGACCAAGGGGAGGAGGAACCTGAAAAGGCAGTTTGCTGTAGCTTCTTTGACTTGAACGACGCTTCTGTCCGCTCGGAGATTGAGCGACAGCTCAGATTCATTCCAGAATACTCAAATTACTGGCGAACAAACACCCAAGCATTCCACAGGGGACAGGTAGGCATGCCCTTCACTGACGAGACGCCAAAGAGGCGTTACAAGTGTGGTGTGTCATTCCATCGCACGCTGTATAAGCTCAGCGTGCTCGTTAGGGGTGTGCAAGCTAGCAGATTTGTGCTGCATGGTGCTGAAAACGCGATGAAGGGCGCTTGCGGATAGAAAGCTACAGGTTTCTGTCTGGATAGTGTACACTTCGCTTTCAGCTGCTCAAAAGGCTACCCACGTCCTTCTGGAGGTGATTGTGCAGATTGGAAAGACAAGTCGCAAGTACGACAACGACTTTGCAATATATGATTACCGCAAGTTGGATTTTGGAATGGCTAAGCTGTCCGCCCTCAACCTTGCTGGGATGCAGGACGCTGGGGTCGTCATTATCACAGACTGCGATGCACCTGCTAGCGCTTCGCCTCCTAGTGATTCTGAAGAGGAGACTGTTCTGCAAGGCGGAGGAGGCACTGAAGTCGGCATCCGAGGGGGGGAGGGCGCTACTACCGCCAGCGAGAAGGAGAGCCCTGACAATTGTTCCTCGCAGAGGCCTCTCGTCTTGCAGGTGATCCATGTGACGACAACTGACGAGATTGATGCTATTGGCGTGGACAGCAAAGGCTCGAGTGACGAGGCCAGCAGACCCCCAAAACCCGCAACGCCGCTAATTAATCCTCGCTTTGTAATTCACGTTGGTCGGAATGCCAAGTGCCAAGTGCACCAGACTCACGTCAGCTTCTCCTCTCTCCTCTCCCAGCAGGAGCAGCGAGAACTCCGCGAACTGAAGCAAAAGCGCGAGAAAGCGCAAAATCACGGGGAGCAGCCAAAGGGCTTCAGAGGTCCTTTTGTTAACTCTGCTACCAGGGTTGTTGTTGAAGAGGGGGGAGAAGTGCATCACGTCTACGCTCAGGTAGGAGTGCTGCTAACCATAGGGCATCTCACCAACCGCCCCTACCGACAAGGTTGCGCTGTGTTCATCGCGTTTTGTGCGTCGGTCGGTCGTATTTGTGTTGCGCTGGCCTTTCGTGCTTTGCAGCCACTGATGATGCTCCGGTGCTTGCTGGTCGTAATTGTAGCAACAGTTTAGAGTTTCACGCCTTTTATAGGGGGGGGGCTGCTTGTTATGAGTTGTCTCTGCTTCCCGCTGCTCCCGTGCTGCTGCTGTCAGGAGTTGGATGGAAACACTGCGCACTTTGAGAATCTCTCAGTTTGCTGTCATCCTCGCGCCAAGTACAAAATTTCGCTGGTGGATGTCGGTGCCGCTGTTAGCCGCTTTGCACTCCAGGTGAGACCCCACCTGTCAGCTATGTATTCAGATCGCCTTTTAGAACTCGTGCTGTATTTTGTGCCCCTAATCTTTGGAGTCGAGGACAAAGGCCCCTGGCCACCGTTGAGGGCCTTGCGTACAACCAGCCTGCTTGTAGTCCGCGCAATGCGCGGCAGGCTTTGTAGAGAGAACAGAAGTGACCTTTGCGACACTCGTGCACAGGGTAAGAGTATACATAGTGCTGCAAGGCTGCAAGGAAGTGGGCAATGGGGCCTCTGCGCGTCTGGTTGTTCGGACTTCAGGTCGAAGGCTCGGAAGCCTCCTCGCATATCTCCCGCGGCATATCCCTGCTTAACAACGACCAAGACCACGCAAAGTTCGAAATGCTGCATCACATCGAGAAGGACGCAGAGACAGATCAAGTGCACAAGAGCCTTGTAGCAGGAAAGGGTGAGAAGTGAAGCACTTCCACTCGGCAAATAGATTCTTGCCTCTCTGCGTGCTCAGCGAGCGCGTCGCGGAACTAACTAGCTAGCAAGCCAAGCTAGCAAGCCATCTAGGTGGCCTCTCAAATGCTTAGCTCAATTGTTGAAATCGCTGTGCTGCTTGCTGTCGCTCAAACGGGGTTTGCCACCACGTCTTGCGCACTAGTGCAGCCAGAAGGCGGATGATCTTGGGGGCTAGATTTTCTAGGACGTGTGGCGGTGTGAAGTTCGGTTCATTTTGTTTCTTCACCCCGATGATCGCAACTGTCCGTGCAGCGCGTGCCATTTGGAGAGGCCGAATAAGGATAGAACGGAAAGCAACAGGTGCCAGTGCTTCTTCCCTAAACCGAGTGATCCTTCTCGAAGATGGCGCGCGCTGTGTTGCCGTGCCAACGCTGGAGATCATTCCAGAAGACATTAAAAAGGTATGGGCGCTACTCAGGATCTCGGGTATAGGAAGAAAAATGTGGGCCGTACGGGCTAGCATTTACAAGTGTGGATTTAGCATTCTTATATGTACGCATTTGTTGCGTTCAGGCAACCCACGGGGCGGCCATACGGGATTTTGACACAGAACCATTGTTCTACATGATGAGCCGCGGGCTTCCTGCCCTGGAGTCCAAACGCCTCCTAATGCTGGTATAGGCAATAGCTTTCAGAGTTCTTTTGCATACCCAAATACCGCATTTGCCTAAGCAGGATCAAACGGGTGCATTTTGGTTGGCATATTGCCAGCATTCGTAGTGGTTGGTCTTCAGGCCACAAAGATTCTCGGAATCGGAGATCCGTAGCTGTCATACAGTTGCACGACTAATGCATGCATCCGGCGTGGTGTGTTGCGCCCATAGCGCCTCGAATCTGCATCTAGTTGTCTTCTGCCGCAGGCCTTCGTAGACGATGTTGTGGGCCCCTTACGAGACAAAGGGCTAAGCAAGCGCGTGAGGCAGAAGGTCTTGAATTTGTTGCCCCAAGACCAGGCAGCCCGGATATCGCGGCATCACATGTTTAGAGGAGGAGATGGTGGTGGTTAAAAGGCCTTTTTTCCGTTCCCGTCTGTGTGAGGGCTTTGATAGCAGCGCGCTTCTTCAGCCTACCCTCCCGCGAGAGGAGTCCTGGAGATGTACACAACCAACGACAGCACAGCTTCGGAGAAAAAGATTTTTGTCTAGCATATTTGTAAGTCAGAAAAGGCGCACTCTTTCTGTCTTACAAATCTGCTGCTGATTGTCCCCCAGAATTCTTTTTGAGAAGCCGCCTACAGGGATCATGCCGCTAGCTAGGTTGCTGGCAATTTCTTTTGACAATATGAGTGGAGGGCTAGCGGCTTCATGTATATAGACGTTAACTAGTTAGTTATATGGCACGACAGCAGCGACGCGAACAGTGGAACCTGAGGACTGATAAAATAGTCATTTCTTCGCATACGTGCTGCGGCTAATGATGCTCCGCACCCGAGCATTACCTCGGCTCTACTGGGATGGGCGCCACTTGCCTTGCCTCTCTGGAAACATATCAGGGAATGCCCTAACGGGTAATCTACTGGTTTACCCTTTGAGTGTCTAGAGCGTCTAGAAACTTGAGCAGAACACTTTCTAGTTGGACTGTGTTAAAAAGCCGAAAACTTTACTCGCTGCGGTGTAGGTCACCGTAAAGGATGCTTTTTCGGTTGTAGAGTTGCCGAAGAGGGTCTGCTGTTTGAATCTGTGACAAGACATAGAAAGAGCTGGGATCTTCCCACTGCAGCACCATACCGTGTGCCTGTCTGGAGGCTTGCAGCCAGTGATGAGTCACGTAGATTGCTACGTGCTGCGAGAGACTTCCACACTGATCTGCCGCCGGGTCCATAAAGCGCTGCTAGTCGCAGTCCGATAGAAGTGCTGTGGCTCTGCGAGCATACCGTGCAGTTTTGTTGCATGAAAGCACTTCAAAAAGTCCAAAAATTCAAGCTGAATGCAGAAGATACATCTGTACCCCAGTCTCAGTACGACGCATGCAAGACACCTCGCAAAGAGCTGAAACTCTAGGAAGGAATCACACGCAGTAGCAGCGATGCCAGGGAAGAAGCAAACCGGAGAAGGCCAGGGAACCGGCCGTTTTTTGCCACTTTTCCGCAGTGGCGGTGCTCAGCCTAGTGCAGTCTGCTGCCATATGTAGGTCGCCACATTGCAACAGGACGTTTGTGCAGGAGGCAGTTAATTAAGCTGTATACCACGAGGTATGCCTACACAGATGCAAGCGGCGGGAGCGCTATGAGTACCTACAACCGGGAGTGATTGAAGTTAAGGCTAGAAGTAGGAGGAGGTAGGGGGAGAAACTGAGATATCGCGACGGTTGCATCTATTGTGCAGACAGGCTGGCCAACCAACAAAGCTGATGGTGTTTTGAGTGTATGGCATCGAGCTACGCTTTCGGCTTTCCGGTCCCGGGATTTTTCCCAGGTCAAGATTCCCTCGGGGAGCAGCGGCACCCTCACGTTCACGTGTCTACACGCTGTGGGTTAGCAAAGGTTGGCCCTGGCTCACCTTTCCAGGACATGGACAGCTATTCAAACCCCTGGGATGGTTTCTCTTTGCAGCATGACATTTCGCACTTAGTTCAGGAGTAGAGCACGAGTTCAAGATTTATATAGATATAAAATTTCCAGCAGCCTTCCTAAGTATTGCTTAGTTAAAGAACACCTACAGCTGACACTAGCTGAAATACCTTGAGAGAAACAAGCTGAGGTTCAGTGTGACAGAAGAATATTGCAGTGAAAGTGAGTTCGGTAGCAAAATAATCACTAAGAGAAAGATGGACTACCACACACAGTGACAACGCTCTGATTGGCGGGTCCTAAAAGTGTGTAGCAGCATGCAAACAATGATTCTACCTATAGCGGTATAGTTCACAAAACACTGCACGCCCAAGCGGCAATCAGCGTGACAGTGGAGGAATATTCTAGAAAAGTACTAAATGGTACTAGGACACGCATAGTCTGCCATCAAGCCAGGAGACCTCGGTCGGCAGGAAATTGACAGCTATTGACAGCGCATACATTACCACGTACCAACGGAAATTGGCAGAAAGAACCTACTGCGCCAGTCGGCGTCCAAAAGTACAAACTCTATACTATTGCATATACCTTTTACAAAACTGCGAAAAGATGTAAGCTTCCCCTTTTTTATGAGGTAGCACAGATACTATAATTACTCTAAAGCCTCGGCATGTTGTGAGTCTAGTTCACCACCCGGAGGACTGTCCACTGCGAACATATCGCTCTCTACGCGGGGAATTGACTTCTCCCTCAACAAACCAATACTGGTGTCTTCTTTGTCATCTTCCAAAACCTTGACAACTTTCTTTGGAGCTTTCTTTTGCTTTGAGGGGGTTGACCGCTTCTTCCTGAGAAAAGCATGCAACAAGCTCCATTCTACAAGTTAGCGTTCTGGAGTTGTCACACAGCACCAAGCTGCTCATAATCCCCCACTGCGCTTGGAAGCACTGCATACTGGAAGCACATATATGTATACATATATGTGCTTCCATATATATATATATATATGTATATATATATATATATATATATTGGGCAGAAAAATACCTCAAGAGTAGGGAAAACTCACATATGAGTGTAGATGAGGAAGCCACAGACAAGCACCAACAATAGCACCGTAATAGCGCCTAGAGTAACTGCGGCTATTGCCATTGCGCTCCATTCCTCGTCAGCTGCAAGTAAGTCAAAGATGGAACAGCAAAATACATACAGACACACATCAGCATGTATACGAGATGCAACCATCGCTATGCGCTGGGCCAATATCATAGCACAGGACTGGGGGGAAGGTATGAGGAAACTACCGTACCCCCTAAAGTGCCAGTGTATTTCAACTGCACATCACATAAAGGATTGGAGTGGTCCCTCTCCTTAGCATCGCTGCTAAAAGCAGTGGCTGCAACTCCGTCTGTGGGGCTATTTTCCTGTGGACTTGTGCTGCTATTCAAGGATAACGGGATTCTTGTTGATGCCTGTAGCTGTCCCGATTTGTATACCTCAACCTGGATATCAGCCCTGTATCAAACGACAAAACATACAAAAAGCTAGCCTAATAAGCTACACAAGAAAGTCAGGTGTGCTTGTGAACACGCAAAAGCTTGTGGAGGTGCAAAACCTTCAAAACAATGTACGCATAGTGGGCAAAAGAAAGCTTCGCAAGACAAATGTTCCAGGAGCTTCCTGTCTCATGACGGCATAGCACAAGTATCTCAACCATAAGAACTGCAATATATTTTCCCTAGTGCTTACGTATACATGCCTTCTGCATATCCACGGATGTATACGCTCGGCGCGTACTTTTCGCCAGCATCCAGATCGACTATCATATCGGTACATTTCATCTGGCACCACATGCCTCCCATACGTGCCATCTGCAAAGCCCACCACAACAACACCTACTAGCACACAATGTTGCTTGAGAAAAAAACCAAAGTAATGCAGTCTTCTGTTACAGTGCACCATGACTACAGGCCAACAGAAGAGAGCACTGACGCAGTTACGAAGGAAAAACTCAATGCACACCAACAACCAGAGTTACAGATGCCCCCCTGATATACACAGAGCCCATGAGTGCATACCCAGAAGCATTTACCCCAATCGTGCAGGGCTGTGTTCATAACTACCAACAAACGATCAAACGTAACGATTTGCACACATAGGCCACAGTCTTGTATCGAACTCACTACATTAAGATGATTACACGAGGTGATTCTCATGGACTACGTCCTGCCTACCAAAACTGCGGCCATCGCATCGGGAGCGCCACCATACTGAGTGGTTTCTTTTGCAGCTTCCAGTTGTTGCAGTGTAGCTAAAATGATATCTTTAACTTCAGCCGCAGTGACCTCTGAGTTTGCTTTTGCAAATACTCCATAAACCAGAGCTGCAACTCCTGGAAAAGTAATGTGAAGGATGCAAACAAAGCACACAAATATGTGAAAGGATACACATCTTGATGCACAGCCCGTTATTTTGACATTACCTCTCGGTCCGTGGGGTACCCATTTTCATCGGACAGCTATCGATGCGTACTAAAGCTTGCGCCATAGATATAGATATACTGTAGGGGTTAAAGACATGCTTGAGGATCTGTGGCAGTTATATTGTCCTGTGTGCAGCAACAAAACAACTCCGGGATACAGCGATGAGGGGGCAGCGCCCACTGACATACCAGATACATGTGGCGCAGCCATGGAAGTCCCTGAGAGGTATTCATAGTCCTGGTTAAGATACGTCGAGTAAACCCGTTCTCCTGGAGCCAGGAGCGTCACTGATTTCTTTCCGTAATTGCTAAAAGGGGAGAGGTCTCCATCCGAGTTGTAGGCACCGACACTAAACATTCACAGAGCACAGAAATCACCTTTGAAAGTCGTTGAGAAATGATACTTTCACTGGTGCAGCAGAAGGTGTGCCAAAGTGCGCATTCTGGAGGCCGCATGAGCAGCATGAACATTTAACCACACGTATGCCATGCGAGCCAACAGCTCGCCCACCCACGTGATAGGACCATCTGCAAACAGAAGAGCGAGCACAGGGGTTGAGGCGAAGTGAACTCACGAAATAGTATGCTTGTAGTCGATGCCAGCGGGAAAGTAAGGAAGTAAGTCGTTGTTGCTGCTACTGTTGCCGGCAGCATTAACAATTAAGCTGCCCAAACCTTTTCGCATGCACATAGCCCTCTGAATAATGAGCTCCAAAGATGCTGAGGTCTCCGTAGAGCCCCAACTATTGTTGACGACGTGCGCACCGCCCAAGAGAGCGTACGAAATGCCCCGCACCCCGCTGCCGAGGCTCCCCTGAACAGGTAAAAAACACGAGATATCTTTTGGCGTAAAGGACCCTCACAAGAGGACATCTACATAAACATTTCTTCGCTGATATCACGCCACGCACCCTCATGGTGCTTCCCAGACACGTCTGACCATTACATATCACACACACACCCACGCACGCTATACTTACCCACATAAGGGCACAACACACCCAAACGCAATTACACACGCACCCTATAGATCATAGATGCTTGCTTAAACATCTATTTACCTTTCCACTAGCGTCGAACTGCTGTACATTCATTAGCGAGACGTGCGGAGAGCATCCTACAATTGCCTCTTCGTTGGCGACTCCTCCAATAGTTCCTGGGAATCAGGAAGGCGCCCACACCAAAGCCTCGCTGCGGCATGTATTGTATGCAATCGCACTACTCCTCTACGTCGCACTTTCAAAGATACGTGGTGTTTTCAGGTTCGCTAAGGTGCTATAGCTTCGGGTGCTTGCTGAGACCGTGAACAATGAGGACTGCTGCTCAGGTCTTCATGTATGAAGCATCAATCAACTTCGAAAGGTGACAGCGAAATACTGAGAACCAGTGTCTCACCTGCAACATGCGTCCCGTGTCCGTTGGCGTCTAATATATGATTCGAGTCTGTGGCGAAATTCCATCCATTGACGTCGTCAACGAAGCCGTTTCCTAAGCGGCAGAGAGCAGAGACGCATCATCGCCCCGCTTGTGAAATAATGAAGCCTCCGCAGTACCAGCGGAATCCGTGTAAAAGTAAGAATGCAAGCAGCCAAAAACAGCAAACTGGCGGAAAATCGGCCCCCGAACTCTTGCGTGCGAGGCAAACGTGATATCCCTACACCATCAGCCCCCCGTGGAGCCCCCTTTATACTCAAATGCACTTACCATCATTGTCCTTGCCGTCAACCACTTCCCCCCGGTTATGCCACGCGTTAGCATCCAGGTCCAGATGCCTTGATATTCCAGAGTCCACAACTGCCACCTGTGCACGCACAAATCATCATCAGATATCCCACCTGCCTAGCGAGAGGTACCAACCTAAGCGATACACGCTTCGGCATGAATAGCACATGCCTAAAAGCAGTTCACAGACAGTGGGGAGCTTTCGCTCACAACTACGTCCTTCGAGCCCTTCTCGCCGTGCATCCACGCATGCACGCATCTGGCCGCATATATCCCCCAGAGTTTGTCTTCAAGATCCGGGTCCCCCGGTATACGCGAAGACACAGGGGAATCGCCTGGAAACCACAAGAACAGATTCTCAATACTCTGGAAAAAGAACAAGCGCTATCTCGCCGTACAGGACGTCTAGAGCACACTGCTTCACGGCCAACAACGTGTTGGTGAGTTGCTGACACTTTTGCACAAATTCTTCCCTACCCAACTGGAAAATACACGAAGCAGGCGCCTGGATAGACACGAATGTTTGCTCGTGCTGCCAGCAAGGGCCCCTTGAGCCATGCGTGAGCCCCTCTTTCTGAACAAGGGGACGGAGGCAGCAATGACACAAAGGCCTACCGCTCAGAAGATGCGCACGGGCCGTTGCCTTAGCAGAACATTGCTCCTGAAGTGCCTCCTTGGCCTGCAAAAATATGGGCCTTTGGAAGGGAGGTAAAGGCGGCTCTGGAAGGTCTTGATCGACCGGTACCATTTGCAGCGACATCTACGAGCACAACATCCCATCAAACCCCGAAGGAGAAGAAACATTCCATGCAGAGCCTCGAAAGGTAAGTGCAGCAGGTCAGATTTCACCTCAAACGCCGCACAGCCCTACACACCACACACTCCACTGTGGGGTTCACACCCCAAAACTTTGCGGCAAACTCTAAAACCCGCCCGTAGAGCTGTTCTCCACAAGTGCACAGCCAAAGAGCGTCCAGAGACGGATACAAAAAGGCCTCACGCTCCCCCACGGGCTGCCCTCAACATACATGACTCTATCGAGGCACTGTGTACGGTCTCCATCATTTATATTTGTTGGCAGATTGTGGAATGCCTCACAGATTTCGAAAGCTCCCAGAAAACAATGCGGTCACCATGCAGCTCCAACAGCCTATTGAGCATCCTGTGCACCCCACTACCCTCGGAGAAATCTGCGCAAGGAACAATAATCGTAACGAGTAGATAGTCTGAGAAGGTTCGGACAATGACCCTTCCTGCAAGAGTCGTGTGTGAGCGCGCAATCCCATGACCCTACAAACAGGTAACTGTAGATGCTTCGCACAGTGACTTCGATGGGGCAATAAAATGCCATCCAAAATGCCCTGCCCTAACAGATGCCTGTACCAAGGAAGGACGGTAAGCTTGTACTATATTAGAAATCTAGAGGGATTCCTAGGTGTCAGGTCTTAGTAAGAACTCGGACTAGTGTTGCTCAGCTGGTCTTTGTAACGGTGACGCTATGTATCCTCAGAAGTGTACCCCATGCCTCCTGCCAGATTCTTTTACCTGCGTGTGGGGGTAACTGAAGAATGATCATATCCACGGCCCATAGGATCTCGCACATGTAGTTCGTCCCATCTTCCAGAACCGATAGCAGCTCATCGCATAAGTGCTTGATGCTCTCTGCGCCTTCCTTTGTTTGCATAAAGCTAGTACCACCAGCAGCTGTCTGCGGGCTGTCCAGGGGGCTAGCGAAAGAAACCACCAGATCGACTGAGCATAAAAACGCATACCTTTCATAGGGAGAGCAGAGTATGCACAGTAGCAGCGCAAGCAGGTGGTCTCACTATTTAAACCAAAGCAACAAGAAAGGGGCACATAGAGTATCGGTGAGGAAAAGAATAGTGCGCAAAAATTTTGGTGGATCCCGCTCCGAAAGCTAAGGGTTCTGTGTTTTTCTTGAAGAGCCAGTGATGGCTCTTCCAAAAGAACGAGCGATATGACGAAACGGCGAGGAACGCACTTGGGGCGTCCGGTTCCTTGCGGTTGTGTCTCTGTATCTCATGAAGAATATCTTCAATATATACTTTTGCTGCGGCAGCTCCCTCCTCCTTGGAAGCCCCCTGAAGGAAAGAAGCGGGCCCCCCCCTTTGCTGCAGAACAGAGTAAGGACCATGATTGCACTGCTGCAGTGGCACTTTTGCGTTGACCGTCTTGATAACGACTGTCAATGGCTCGTTGGTCGTGTTCTGTAACTGAAGCCGTCGTGTTAAAAACTTAGAAGCCTTCTCGCTGTATGCCAGATTAATGACACCGGTGCACGAATAATCCAAATACGTGGCGTCCACTGTTACGCCCCCAACGGTGTGTATGCACTGAGATTTCTTTTCGCTAACTGTTCGCGCTTGAGGATTACCAAGCAGAGTCCCTGTGTAAATATCCACTACGTCTGAAGGGAGCCAGCCCCTGCCATATGGGTTAACGGGTGGAGTTTCCACTTGGTCCGACACAGAGCCTTCCTCTGGTGTTGTGTAGAACCTGCTTCTAGCCGGTCTGCTTCCAGATGGATTACCTGAACTCATAGAGCCCCCATCCACACCACGCATAGTGTTATTCCCTGAAGGCGTATAGCTGCTGCCATCGCCATCATCCAAAGGCGTGCCAACGTATCTGCTTCCAAAATACCTGTGTCTTGGATATGTCGCTGATCTATGCTCAGGATTCGTGGGGTGTCTATAGCCAAGCGAACTACGGAGTTTCCTATAAAAGTACTCCGGGTAACCTCTAATATACCGACTTTCTCCGCTATCGTTGACGCCGGACGACCCTTCATGTGACGATCCTAAGGCAGAAACTGTCGAAATACTGGTACCAGCAGCTCCACTCTGCTCCTGACCAGTTGCTTCGGACTCCGAGGCGGTTGAGAGCTCTTCAGCAGCCTCTGCCACACTACCTTGAGCGGCCTCTTCTGCTCTCGTCTGTTCCTCAGCGTGTTTATCAAGGAGCGGAAGTTCCTCAAAGTCTTTTGGCGGACCAGAATGCTTAAGGTCTTCTGACTCTGGGGACTCGGTCGACCCCGAGGGATTCCAGCTCCACACAGTGGACACCGATTTTGAGTTGCTGGAATCGGCTTCGCCGGCAAGAAATGCAGATGCTTCATTGGCTTCAGCAGGTCCAACGTCCGCTACTATGTGGCGACTGACTATCTGAACTCTCTCTCCTGAGTGCAGGGTCTGGCCGGCCATTACGCTATTGGTGACCTCTGCAGCCGATTGAGCGGAGGCAGTAGATTCTACAGAAAGACGGGGCCCTGTAGGGCCAGCGGGATCACGCAGGAAAGATGTTGCGTCATCAGCTTTTGGGGAGGCCGAGGACGCAGACTTCTGCTGTATGAACGCACCGTCACTAGCGCCACCATCAAGAAGCACCGGCCGACCCACCCGGAGGGATTCTTTGCCCACCCCTGAGCTGGCAGGAGAAGCCTCATGAGAAGCGAATTCGAGTGTGGGACGATGCGAAGCATGAAGCACTTCACTGGCGCGTTCATCGCGCAAAGTCCCAAAGGCTGTAAATGAGCCATGCAGCACAAAGACGAAGGCCGCAAGAATGACCCAGCGACCTGCTCTAGTTATAGGACTCCCCATAATAATGAATCTTGCTTGGAATTAACGGGACAGATAAGGGGTGAGAGGCGGACGCAAGATACCACAAAGGCGTGGAATCAGCCTCGTTGAGACACGCAGGAATGGTCAAGCGTCTTGCTGTGGCTATCGCACTACAGAAGAGAGTTGAGTCCCAACGTCACGGCATCGTGCAAAATTCTGCATAAAGTAAACAAAGCCTCTTGTTTGGTGGGGGATGAAGCAAGAAGAAGCAGATACAGTACCGCTTGCATCGACCCCACGCTCACCCTAACTTGCAGGGAACCATTCAACTTGTGGCTCGGCAGAAACACTGCGAAGTTCATGAGCAGAGGACAAAATAACGCGCGTTAAAGAGCATATGACTCGAATAAAACAGGGGAAACAGATAGTACACTGAGTATCTAGGCACATCGAGCCGTCGATGCCCAGAGGCTGACACCCAACCGACAGCTGCAGCACGGAGGGACTCCGGCTGCTTGCTTCGAAACGCACGAAAGCAACAAACCGCATGGTACATTACAAAATCTCGGAACATCAATTACAAGGTGATTCGTTGAGGACAATCTGTGCAATGGAGCAACTCCGATGAAAACAACTCCTGTGTTGCACTATATCTACTTGTCGCTGGCTTCGAACCTAGAGTCATAGGGAAGCACATGCCATGCTTTCCTGGTTCTCAAACGTTTTGACCCGCGTTACAAATTCATTAATGTCGGGCTGCTATCCTACCAAGTGTACGGACTCTTGCAAGTCGTGTCCCTGGCAGTCGACAGAATACATACAAATGGCTGATAGGGAGCTTGACTTTTCACCGCTAGTCATTTCCCGGCGCGCCCTCCGCGATGCTTTTGCAGTCAATTACGCACATACATTGTGATTACAAGACTCACTTGAATATTAGCTGGGTGTATCGGCCTAGTCCATACTGTGTATTTTGTGCGGTTGTATTAGATAGCACTGGCACATAATATGCCCTGTTGACAGATGGCGTTCGGTTAATGCGCATGTTATGTCAGTCCTTAGGGCTCCCTGGACTGCTCAAAGAGCGCAGTTGTTTCTATCTTGATTGCCTCTAGGCTCCCCGTGCGTGGAGCCCCGAGGGTGAACGCGAGAAAAGCGGGAACTTGGGTTAAGGGCTATGAGTAGGGGCTCTTTTTTTCCAAGACTTTCCTCAGCTTCGATGGTGTTGGCGGCCTTATTCAGTGCGTGCGCCTTTGAGAGCACCGTCTGAGCAGTCCAGGCTGACACACTCACGCATATATATGTATATATACATATATATATGTGAATATTCAGATGCATATACTCACACTGTCCATTGCATTACCGCAGTGCGTTGGCCCACAATATGCATTTTTACGATAGATTCAGCACCGCGCTGCACAAAATGGAATAGATGAACAGCTGAACCTTCTGTCTAATAATTAGAAGGCATGTATATCCTATGACAGCGATTGTCTGGGAATGGCTTGGCTCAGTGGACTGGGAGCCGTCTCCCTGGCTCGACAGGTCACAATCTGACCTAGTATACTTTCCCTGAATACCCCCACAAGGAGCACTGTTCTTAGGAGGGAGATCCATGGAAAAACTAATAAAATAGATATGCCACTACGTTTACGATTGCTGCTTGCCTGTTCACAAGTGTTTCCACAAAAGAACTGCCTTTTATCGTGTTTTATCTCTTCATATGCCTACTGGTTTTAGCTCTTACTGAGTTGCTGGGCTGCTGCCGTGACGCTTCGAGGCTTTTGCTTCATGGGCATGCTGTCGCGAACCTTGCACATGCAATTTCGCAAATTAGGCAGTGGGTTCAAAGGGTACTAGCTTTCTTGCAGTTTGGTGCATGTGGAGAATAGCGTTTCTGCTTTACATGCATTCTGTCGAAGCATACAGATTAGTGTTTCATTTAGCCCCTTATTTACACTGAATAAAGGTTGCCTGTTCATGGCAATGCGCATATGCAGTTTCTTCAGTATTTAGTTTATCGGTAAGAATATGTATGTTCTAAAATGAGCGTTTTATTATATATTGCCCGAAAATTCCCCCGCTTTCCTAGGCAGCCGCACTTGCCAAGTGCCACCTGCGGCTGCCTGCCCGTGACTCTTAAGATGAGACTTCGAGTCATTTACGCTGCGCCTCGCTGCCTGCCTGCATATGTTCCCGCCAATACCTTCTCTCTACTTTCCCCTAAATCAGATCAGTAAGGCCATTCCTGTTGCGGTACGGTGACCCTAGTGCTTTGATTAAAATTATTACAAACTAGTCAACAGAAGAGTTAGCGGTTCCGGTAGAGACAATGAATTCGTTCAGCCGAGAACTCCTGGTGCATTTGCAAATCCTTGAGTACGCGGCAGCTCAAGTAGATAGCGCAAACATCTTGCCACACTGAAGAGCCCCCATTACACGGCAATTAGTCGGGTTGACTCATCCAGCACGGCCAAATCATCGAGATCGTCCGATGCGGCGCTTGGATGCTGAGGCCCCAGGGCATTCGAGAGGTGAGAGGGGCTAAGCCGAAAGAAGGCACCATACGCAAGGCAGCCAAGGACGCAAGCTGAATCAGTAGAGTCGCACACACTTCGCAAAACGAGCTGGGCTGGCGAGACAGTGAAGGTCGGTGCGCATCGACAAAAACCCACCACTGAAGTTGCGCAACTACGGCAGCAGTGGCCACTGACGCCAGGACCAGCAATCAGGAAACTTACCAAGGAAGAGCCAATTGCCGCAGTATAAGAGGGCCGCGAGCGTCGGCGTTGCTGCAGCAGCACCATTCCAGTCGATGGCTGTTTAATAGAAGCACCCAGCAGCTCAAAGCTCATAGAGCAGAGGCTTAGTAGTAGGCGGAAGAGAATTGCGACACACAGGGGCATACAAGCATTCGCGTACCGAACGCCACCCGAGAAAGGGCCGCAGCGAATATGGTAAGGCGGCACGAGGTGCCTGCAGCTGCTGCGTGGAGTGAGCAGCTAATCGCGTCCGATCCATTCTGCAGCAGCCGGTGTAACACAGGACGCAATACATCGAACAGTCCATAAAGAAGCAGCGTCAACACTGCTCACAAGGAGATCCTCGAAAAGCCTCGAAAAAGCCTTGAACCAGCTAGAATGAGGGCTACGAAAAACCGTTCTACTTCACTGGAAGAGACTGCGCACTGGTTGCCTTAAAGCTCCCTTACATGAGGCGTGAACATTTGATTGCCGAAAGACGCATACTGCGGTGCCGCCTGCGCAACAACCGAGGAGCACGAAAGACGCAGGTAAAGAAAAGGTAGCGATGTGGGCGCCACAAGCAGATAGAACCAAAGGGCTCTTTGTTCAGCCTGCGCCATGTTTTGTCAAATACTGTTTTTGCTGGTGCATCGGCTGTTGGATGAACAAACGTGCCCTAAGCTGCTCCACGGAGGAAAGCGCATAGCAAAGTTGCCAATCACTCATAAAGAGATTTCAGGAGCTTTTCAGAGCAAATCAAGCAGATCATGCGATTTTCCTGGATCCGCAACGAGCTACAGGCGTTGCGGGGTTGCCCCTGCAGCTGCGCGCCATTCCGTGTGAAAAGTACACCAACCTCGTCCTCCGTCGGACTGAAGAGTGGAGGAGGAGTCAATGGTCAACTGTCTAACCTACCGTGAAGATGCATAGGGCAGCGGCCAGGATGTGATTGGCGAGCAAGGCGGACAGCAACAACAGCACCTGAGAAACCACCCAGACTGAAGCAAAAGAGCCACTGATGTCGCAAGGAGCACCCAAGCATGAATTTTTCTCCTCATCGAGCCGGAAGGACGGCAGCTGTTTCTCGCTGCTCTGCCCACAAGAAGTGCTGAAAAAACGGGATCAGGACCTGAGGAGAAGAGCCGAAACTCTTGACTTTCATGTGTTGTTGCAGCTCGCGGGCTCCTTTGTGCTCATCTGAATACCGCAGCAAAAGCTCCAGGAGGCCGTAAAGGCCCCCAAAGAGCAGAAGCAGCAGCCAGCAACAGACCAACCAGAGATCGGCAGGGGGGTACTGAGGCAGAGCAAACACCATGGCAGACGAGAGTATGGGCGGGTGTGTTTCCGATCCTGTTGATCCAGAAAGGTCGGCGGATGCGTTCTTGCCGGCATGTGGTTCCTAAGAGGTGGACGGCTATAGCACGCAGGAATGAATCTCGTTCTCATTAAAGCCCCTTCGCGCATATTGGTGGTTTGAAGACACGAGTGCCGAGAACTCTGTACATACTGCCGACAAAGAAGCGCCTTAGCCATGAGGAAGACGCGGCAAGCGTACCGACGAGAGGAAGAGCAACATTGCATCTGCAGGGGTCAAGGGGCCTTCGGAGAAAGGGGCTGCAAAGCCGCAGCGCCAGCCGCAAGTGGAATGTTTTAGACGCCACAGGAGAGCCGTAGCCAGGGAAAGCAGCATTAAAACAAGCAACAGCAACACGCCCACGCCAACGAGCCTTCGGAAGTGGAGCGGCAAGCGGCACAGAAGCGAGTAAGTCGACATGGGGCCCTGTTCGGCTTCCTGCACAACGCCAACACGAGGACGGAGAGTGGAGCGCCTGGTGTATATGCGCCTCTCGTCTCTCCATTTAACGGCGCTCGAGTAGAAACGGCTGAAAAAGGATGGCTAATCGAGCTCACTTCCGAGCATACGTCACGAAATCCCACAAATGTTGCCACGCGCACCTGGAGCTGATAGTGCTTCTCGCTGCACAGGCGCTGCTGGATCCTCAGTCTCTCGAGCACTTCTCGATCTTTGGCCCCCATGGCGTGCAGGTTCCCCGCGTACTTGCTCTGCGACATGCGACGGCAGCAGGAAATCCAGCGATCCAAACGCATTCTTCAACAGGGCATCTAAGCACGCTCAGCGTGTCAGAATCACGGTCCATTCTGCCCGTGCGTTTGCAAGTTTTCCTGCTCTTCCCCGCAGTCTGTGTCTGGCACCTCTTGACGCTTTGCCTCTGAAAGCGGGTATAAAGGCATCCCCCCACACAGTCCGAGGGCAGTCCAACAGTACCTGGATCCTTCGTTGCTGCTCGCGCAACGCAGTGATCTCTTGCTGCACTTGCTGCTGCTTTTGATGCGTTGAAGGGCCACGCCGAAGCCATGCCAGGGGCACTGCCGCGAGGCCGAACGCACCGAAGAAAATCCACACCACTTGCGCTGAACGCACACACCCCAACAAGCAGCCAAAGCCTCTCCCCCAATTAAGTACAGCTGTGGAAAGCGCGCAGTCGAAATAGCCTTTATGGGACCCTAAGGACTAAGGAAGGTGTACGCACAGGCGAGCAAGTACACAAACAACGCAACGACATACACAAAATGTATGCATCCCTATATGTAGATAGATATATGTATATATCCATATAAACTCTTTTTCTGCCAGCAGGTGCTGAACCTTGTAGCGCATGGGTCTACGCAAGTCTGCACACGAGTTCCTCTCTCGCCTTTTCCCCACTCTTCATCAAGAGTTCATACGAAAGCCTGGCGGAACCGTAGTGTAGTGTAGGGACGGCGCTTACCCGCGCAAAGGAAGCAGGCGCCAAGGAAGAGTAAAGAGTCGACGCCTGTCTTGTGCACTCCTAAGAGTTGAGCCGTATAGAGCTGGATAGCTTCCGAGTCCACCTGCCGTGCCGCTGCTGCTGCCTTTACGGCTGCTGCGCTTGCTGCGGCTGCAGCAGCAGAGGCAGCAGCGGCAGCCGCTGCCATGAGGCCTGCAGGGTTGGATGATGCATGAGGGTTCTGTGGCACATTTGGTGCGTTCTGCTGAGTAGGTGTGGCGTAGCTCTCGACTGTCTTGAAAAATGTTGGAGAGGGCATCCCTGGCCTCAGAGCGAGAAGGATAAGCAATATCGCACCAAGTCCAACCACGTAGCACCCCGTCCTTTTCAAGGCGACAAAACACGTCTCGCATGGCAACGCATCATACTCGTCGACATCTTGCGCCTAAAGGGACAAAGAGCACACGTTGCTGCTTTTAAAAGTACACAGTACAACCAGGATACGCGGATCCTCAGTCAAAGATATCCACATACATGCATATATCACACACATGCATACATAGGTGCATACACACACAGCCACACATACACACATACATGCACACAATACACATATCCCCTCAACGTACTTGCACAAAAGTTGTAAGGGATCCTCACACCCCCCTGCATGCAACGGATGCCATACAGGAGGGGAGATGCAAAGATCAGAGAGGCAGAGGATCGCTGGGAGCTTACGCGTCTCCTGTTACTTTCGTTCGAGTAGAATATTGCGGCGGGCGTCAGCAGGAAGCAGCAGATAAATACAGCAAAGCCAAGGAACGCATACATGCGCTGTAGCAGCTCTACGGTCAGCGGCAGAAAAGCATTCTTCAGAGCTCTCCACCCTTCAGCAGCAGCAGCTGCTGCAGCTGCCCCCGCAGGAGTAAATGCTGAAGCTGTATTACTTGCATGCGCGGCAGCTGCTGCTTCTGCTACAGAGGGCGCCGGTGCCCCATCCGAATCAGCTTGCGCTCGCAGTGATCCGGATCCCATGCTTGAGGCGAGCATGATGTCGATAGGCACGAGAAATGCCAGGAGCAACGCCAAGGTGAGCGTACAGCAGAACGTAAACGCTGTGGCCGCATTGCTCTTCTTACAATCGACAAAGTGGTAATACAAAAGTATTGGCAGCACCACAGCAGCGCTGGCAGCAGCCAACGCCCCAAAGCCAACGAGTAGCATTGCCTTGTTCCTTATGGCAACCCCATTTCTCCGGTTTGTTGCAACAAATCTGCACCGAACTTCTGCGCCGTTTCCTCGAAAGGCAACGCTACTGCATAAGGCACAAATGGTCAGTCCTGCCACTCAGCCCCTCTAGCACTAAAGTTCCGTCCTTAGAGCAATGTGGGCTTCGTGCCTTTGACATGGCCCATGTGGCAAGCGGCCGTGTTGCCGCCTTTGGTAGTATGTTGGCGGGGCAGGCCCTTAGGCGCCCAGCGGACTAAAGGAAGGGCTTCGTGTGATTGAGACGAGCAGAGAAGCTCAAACGAAGTTTAGAAATGTGAAATATCTCTAAAGAGGGGTTCTTTGCAACAACAAACGCGCAAGCCGTGCTCCTGCGGCATGGCTCAGCGCAAACGGACCGCTATGTGACCAGCCCACTAGGAAGACCAGGCTTTCTAATCCTGTAGAATTTTGGAAATTGCGTAGATGAGAATGGCAAGCCCATTCTATTGACGCGCGGATTGCGGGGTTTTGTTGCAGGTGGATGCTTCCTTCATCACATATCATGTCGGTCGTCAAGGGTCTGCATGCTTTGGCAGGTGCGTTGTCTCACCAAGTGCCGAATCAAGTGGCAAGTATTCTACACGGAAATAGTCTGCACAATTTTGTTTTATCGTCATGCCCGGTAATGACAGGAGTCTACTTAGCCCTCAACTGTGCAGGTTAATTAGCGTTCGCGCTGCCATAGTGATAAAGCAGCCCTTTCGTAATACTCGCACTGCAACCAAGGCTAACTCTGCTTCTTAGAAGCTGCAATCCCTTTTGAATCAAAAGGAGGACTCATTGTGGCTTTTTGGTCGCCGGGTGAGAGCCGCTGCAATGGCGTTGCCCAACTCAAACGGCAAAGCCGACATTTGTCTGCGATGTCCCGAGCATGACTCAGCTGCAAATGAACTCAGCAATCGAGTAAATGAACTACTTTTGGGTATGGCTTGACCGATTATTGAAAAGGGTGCATGCTCAGCGCACTAGCTCTCATTCTTCAGAGTACTTTCTCCTTGACGCCTTCTGTCGTTTTAGTGGCACAAGACAGCGGGGAGTGGCGGAACAAATGCTGCAGAGAGTGCAATTGTTATCGTGCAGTGACTCCATCAAAACTATTGCATTGGTTTTCTTGTGGAAATTGAGGTCAGGTAGTGAAGCACTGGAAACTGAGAGTCGGAAGCATTTGGAGGGAATGGCGACCAAAGCCCAATATATCGAGGAGCAGCAGCTAAAAGTGGGTCGGCTCCTGTATTTTTTTACAGATTATAGCTCTAAAAGCGTTTGCTTGCTTCCCTCACATTTCTCTTGAGCTCTAGGGGGGAAACGACCATGCGACGGCAAAGCTTGTCACGAACAAGAATAACACGCGTTGGCTCCCTCTTTAGACGAATGGCTCTGTAAATAGAAACCAGGCTAGGATTTGTACGCATGAATTCTTGTTGTCACCATAGCATAACTTCGGTATTTTAGCAGTGCCTGTTTCTAAGCTTAAGCATCTGGATTAAGGATTAGCAGTGCACTGCGCCTCAGACAGTGGGGCAACGAATTGCAGAACAGCTAAAGCCGCTTCAAGCTGAGAAGAAGCTCCTGTTGACTGCAATGAAATGCAGAAAACTGGAAGAACGCCTCCACAGGCAAGCCAGCTACTGCCCACTTAAGCTCACCACGCGCCCATATTGAATGTACAGGCGAAGAGCGCTACTTCTGAAGATTTAAACCCAATGGCCACATAAGGAACAACACTATTCTGCACAAAACAAAGCCTTACGTGCTAGTAAGGCACAGCGATAATGATGGTGCTCGCCCCCCTCAGGTTGCAGTGTGAGGCTTCCAACGTACAACAGGTGTTGCAGCAGCAGGAACAGCTAATTGCAGATCTTAAAGCTGTTAAGGGATAATCAAGCTACCATCCTGGCCTCCAATAGTTACACGGTGAGATCCTGTCACTAATTGCCCCAAGCCTTTTTCAATGGCAAGCTTCCAAGTGCGGATTTTCATGTGCTTCTGCCGTTGTACAAGTTCTACTAGAGGATACACTTTGGTCTTTACAGTCCAGACGGCGCTTCAAGGTCACCTAGACAGATTGAGCTCCGAAAGCTGGTCGAACGCACCGCTTGCACTTGAATACGACGATACTATTATGGGCTAAGAAAATTTTGACAGTCGCCACCACACCGGTTCATATTACGGTGCACGTTTATTCTATTTGCTTTGAAAAATGATCAGCATCTCACGAGCAATGCTTGCGCCGTGTAGCTGTCCATAATGTTGCTATCATGAGAGCACGCACATGCATAAACTCCTTCAGGGGTGCATCAATTTGCACTATGGATAACAGTCTCCCATGGGTTTGAGACCCTATGGGCAGGGCACAATGGAAGAAAACAGATTCTTCACACCAATGCAGTGCTTTCCATTATTTGTTGATCTTTTCTTGTGGATACGAGCCTGTCTGAGGGGACCTTTTGAGGAACGCTATTTACACGAACACATAGAAAAAATGGATTGAGCCTAGACAGTGACAGCCAAAAACCACGAAGACTCTAGATAGTGGGCGAAGAGCACATGCGAAAACAAGCCGGCTTTTAGTAGCAAATGGCTTTTGCGTGCATACTTTTCGATAGCGTCGAAGCACAGTCCGGCCATGAACAGGAGAGATGACCACGCATTCCACTAAAATAAATTTCGTGTGAAATCAGATGTGTATAGTTTATAGTCCTGACGGGTTCATCAGGGTGTACCACCGTTATCTCTCTTGAACTGGGCGATGCGCAATCGCACTCCAGCCAACGCAAAACCCCAGACCATTGGTTTCTTGACTAGGCAGGCTGGTTGTTGCAAAGCATAAAACCTACTCTTTTAGTCAGAAAAAAATAAAATTTATTGGCTTCATGATGCATAGTTACTAAGTACAGAACTATAAAAACTAATCACAAGTGTGCGTGGTGGTGCCGCGTATTTCATGCTACAGGTCGCGATGTCTGCCGCAATTCCAGGGAGCCACGGGGCTGTCTCTAACAGCACCAGCTATGTAGTCCCTAGAATCGGATTCAAGCATTTTTTTGTCTTTGTATGGATGTACGTTGAAATATGCTCATTTGCATTAGCCAACAATTAAGTGGACACTGGAGGGCTGACGCCACTTTGCGTCGCCGACTGACTGTGTGTAGAGATCCAGTGGGTGATTGTGAGGGTACGTTGATTCAGATGAGTAATTACATCATCGAACATTTCACTTGATTGAAGAGCAACTTTGGCCTTGCGACTCTTTCCCCATCTCGGAAGAGTCATGGCCAGCGTCTGGGAAATGTTCAAGGCCGGATACTCCGTGGTGGAGCAGAGAGAAAGTCGTGGCACATTCGTTTTGAAGCCCACTGCTCATTGACAATAGTGGCCGATGCATCCGATTCTGGTGCGATGGCTGACCAATCAGCATATTGTTGCGGCCTATGGGACCAGCCATTGATGCCAGACAAGGCGACGGTAGCTATACCACAAACCCCAAAACTTACGGTCCTCATGGGCCATTTGGCGCACCCGACGCAGTACCGATATCTTTGCACGGAAAGCTCTGAAGCTTCCTTAAGACTCCAGCAGCAACGGTGTGACCAATCACGTGTGCTGCACGGGCGAGCAGCACTGCCCTTTGAGCATGAAAGGGCGAAGGACATCAACTCTCTGGGTCCTTCGAAAAGTCAACACCAATGTCTCTTTTCTGGTAGATTCAGGTGGACAGGGTGTATTTTTTTGTCAGTACTGACCATAATCTGCCTCGTTTCGCCTGCATCTTCCATGCGGCGGTCTGCCGGAGGCCAAATGAACATACGGGCGGCGAACGCGCTAAATTCGGAGTCAACAGACAGCAATGCGGACATTCAGCGGGCGATAAATAGAGCTATGAGAGCTCAAGTTGCACAGATGGAAAGGCAAGAGATGCTTGAAGCAACAGCCGTACCCGTAGTTCCTCAAGACTCCCGTGCGTTGCCCTCGACGTTTATGCAGGTGGAGGCAGCAGTGCCCCATAGAATTAAAGATGTGGAGCAAGGCAGTAGTATGGCGGATCTAGGAACCCTTCTAACGAAAGATTTGAAAAGCAAAAGCAAGGCATTTGCAAAGGACAACCGAGTAGCCCCTCGCTCCAACACAAGCCTAAGAGCCTACGATTCTTCCGATAAGCCCCCTTTCTCTTTTATAAATTGGGGGCAAATAGGGGGTATGATGCAAAATCCCGCAATAGCTCACACTGGTATGACTGTCTATGTGCCCCGTAAAGCTGTGGGTACTACTGTGGGTCTAGACTTTGACTCGCCTGCCACTTTCCATGGGCCTTTACTAGTTGCACTCATGGTGCTTTTCCTTATCTTCTTTTTGGTGCTGATGCTGTGCTGCTGGATGGTGAAGAGCAAGGAGAAGCACGATAAATATATGGCCGAAAAAATTCCGAGGCGCTAACGAGCCCATGAGCTGTTTGTGGTGCCACTGGACTCTTGGCGCCCAAGAAGTTGAAACTTTCATGCGAGTAGCCTGAAGACCTGGCTACCCTTTCAAGCGCTCTTCTGTGACCGATGTTGCACCGGGCGAGAAGGTACAGGTGCTATGACTACCGCCAACTTATCAGGCCGCATCGGCGCACGCCTGAAAGCCGTGGTCTACGACGCCCATCATTCTGTTTCCTTCGATCCTCTACGTGAACGTCACACATGTGGACGAGAAAAGTCTGCATGGCTCCTGCAAACAGGCGTCCTGATGAGCCAGTTGCGCATCCTCTCACCCCCATAGAACTTCTGGAGGCCTTGATCAGGCCTTCAGGCTCCATGGGGTATGCCCGTTTGTAAGTTGGGTTAGGAGGGATCCACTCAAACTGCCTGCCCCTTGGCATGCAGAGACTCAGAAATTCGAATTCCCGACAAGCCCTTCATGAAGAAACATGGCGCACTTGTAGGCCCCCCCTTTCATTGGTTTCGTCTGATGCTAGCACAGCCGGCGTTCGCTGAGGTCAGATGCCAAGAAACATCGGCCCTGAACATCCCGATCATCGGGGCCACGCCAGTAGCGCCATTTGGATGTTGTTTTGGATTTGCTCAGAAGCAAATGCAATGTGTATTACGAATGAAAGTTTTAAGCTAGACGCTTGCCACAGGGGCTTCTGGAGGTGGTGCTTCTTCCAGTGTGCGGTCGGCACATGCCCCCTTGCGGGTTCCAAGGCACCGTTAGAGATGCGATCGAGAGCTACTTTGAACCTCTCAAGCACTCCTTTACTGACCGGAAGTCTGGATACCCCAGCGACGCATACCCTTGGCTCTTAAGGGTTCACAAAGTCTAGCATAGAGTTCTCAAGGAGATAGGGGGGCTGCTCAGTTGACCACTCTGCTACCTGCATGTACGAGGCCCTTCGGTAGGCCCACGTCAGTGGCGCAGGAGAGAGTTATTGCTAATCCACAATACGGTAAAACTCCCATACGGGATACCAAGGGCCTTTGGCAGATGCCGTCAAAGGCTCACCCTTCCCCTTGATCCCTGAGTGTCAGAGAGGCCGTCTCCTCACCGGTAATAGACGCACTGAATACGAGTACAGCAGACTCGAATGTGGTGTACCTGACTCTCCACGATCACTTTTGCTATGCATGCAAATATCCAAGTGCCCTGTGCGGTCAAGGCCTCGCGAAGCAGCAGCCGTGGCACTGTCTGAATCCGGGAGAAGCGGTCACACGCCGGCGCATGCAACATACTTTTTGCATAGCAAGGCAGAATTGACAGAGATACTTCTGGCGTCCTTCCGCTGAAAGCCACAGTAGAGGAGTGTGTCAGTTTCTAAAGAAATCCAGCAGGGCGTTCCTCACGAAACCTAAGGCTGCCGTCCCGACACTAGCCTGAGAAGCTACGCTACTGCCCCCCTCCTCCGGAGATACTACAACTTCAGCTCTGCAATTGGGGCAGGTGGCACTACACCTAAGCCAGGCCCGCGCACAGCCCCAATGGAAGGCATGCCCACACATCAACACCACAGACTCAGTCCCTTCCTGCAGTTGCACTGTGCAGACGGTGCAGCTTGGAGCCTCGAGCTCCCCTTCACCAGATGTGGCTTCTGCCGCAGCTGCGGCGGACTTAGGGCAAGCAGACCGATTTGACAAGGCTGCACAGCCTGTGCTCGGCCCATCTTCCTCGGAGGGGCCCCCCTCCTCATTATCGGTGCGCTTCCGCGGAGGAGTCTCCGGCTCTTTTCGCGGGCACAAGTGCATATATTGACGTTGATAGACTGCGAGGCAGAACGGACTTACCAGCTGCCTCTCCAAAGCCGCTTCCAGCCCCTCATCCATTCCGCGTGAGTTCCCTCTCACATTGCCAGACGGCAAGACACGGAGGAGCAACTGTGGGTCCATAGTCTGCAGGCAGGCAGCGGGCACGCAGGCGGGCAGCAGCGCAACAACCCATCATGCAGCAGAGGGTGTCGGTCTCGCAGAGAGAAGTCAGTGCCAGAGGGCACTCTTGTGCACACTAGGTACATCTACATGTTCATCCGCGCTCCTTACCTGTGCGGCCGCCACGATCGCAAAGGGCTGCACACGGGCCGGCAGTCTGCGAACGCGTGCCAGGATATCTGGAGGCAATATATCTATAAGCGACGGATTGAGGGAGCCTGAGGCGCACAGCGGCCTCCCCCCGCAGCACCCAATCCTATCGAAGCCCCGCCCGTCCCGCGTGTGTGAATATATACATATACCTACATATACACATATATATATATAAATCTATGGCCACCAAGAAACAAAAGACAGATCTCTGTACACAGGGCAGTCTCCCAGCCATTAGACCACAAGAAGCGCAGCACACACGATGCGAGTGACGAGTTCTCCTAAGTCGCGCGCTGCCATACCTTCAAAGTGCACCACCGTTTCGGGGCCAACCCGGGCGACGGGAATCGTAGACGGCTCTGTCGCAATGACTTTGAACTCGACGCCTCTACACAGAGCCACAAGAGAAGGACCCCAGTCGCATACAGAGAGGACAATTCAGGAAGAGGGAAAGAGCAACAGCAACAGCGCAAAATGCAGCAGTGCGGGTGCGCTATAGCCTCTTGGAGGTGGCCTTCTGCCATTATTCTCCGCTATATTCGGCCCACAGGCACATCTATGCTACCTAAAGGTAAAGATATCGCCTTTACGGATGAGGCGCCAAGGTTGCTCCTTCAGAAAAGGCTGCAAATAGTCCTCAAAGAGGCGGAAGGAGTAGGTAGTCGGGAGCGTATCGGCGAACGGCAAGATGTGCACGCGCCGGTACTCCCCCCACGGATCCACGGAGATGTATATGGCCTGCAATACGCATAGTTCAGAAAACAGACTGTATGCGTATGGCTCACAGCGGCCCGAAGCCGTTCTTTTAGCCAGTGGCACGGCTACCCCAGGCAGAAGTCAGTTTTTACTGCGAGACAGAGAGAGAGAGAATCACTGCCTGTCGGCTTTTACGAAGCAATCGAACGCCCTTCTGCTTCGGTATATGCATGTAGAGATAGATGCATAGCGCGCATGCAACCGGACATCTCAGGCCCCCCTGTTCAGCACGCGGAGGCAGCAGCAGACCAGCGCCCTCGTTCTGGCGCATGTTGAAACACCAGCGTTTGTCTTTTTTCCGCACAGCACGTCTCTCACCGTGTCTTTCCGTACGAAGCCTGGGTTGTTTTCCGGATCGGTGGCCCAAACCACAAAGGTCAAATCCTTGATGACCAGCTGCTTCCCTGGAAAAACGACCACTGCGGTGTCACTACACGCGGCGTTCCCCGATCCGGGGCTTGCCGGAGAGGGGGGTGGGAAGCAGAGACTGCTCCGAGCGCGAAAATAGGGAGCCACAAAATCGTGGAACAGAACCTGTTCACTGAAACTGGTGTTTAATGGGGCCTTTCCCTGTGAATCCGCAGAGGCGTGTGCGCCGTCTCTGGGGGCCGCCAACTCCCCCAAGGAGGATGGCGAGGCGCAGGGGAAGTTGAAATTCAGCTGGAGCGTGCGCTGTTGTTGCAGAGGCTGCTGCTCGCGCCCAGCGAACTCCTCATGAGTGGCGCATGCATCGTTGCCTGCAGTGTCGCTCAGGTGGAAAGCGGTGCTGCCTCCCAGCACTTCCTCGTCCTCATCGCTGCTACCTTGTGAGGCCGAATCTGTGGCGTCAAGCACCGCAGCAATGACGTCCTCAGCCCGCGTATACTCTTGCATGCGACGCCGATCCCCCCCCCTGCGTCGCCGCTCGCCAAAGTCTTGAGACACGCCCCAGCTGAAGGGCGATCCCAGCTGATGGCGGGCTGCCTCTGACATTGTTGCAGCCGCGAGAGCTGCCACACCTCGAGTGCTACCAATGTCAGAAGACGCACTGGCGATTGGACCTGGTCGCGAGGCGTCGTTACTTTGCCTAGTGCGTCTACTACTACTACTGCTGCTGCTGCTCATCGTGCGCTGCGTTGCACTAGCCTCCCCAACCAGGCCGCGCTGCAAGGCCTCCGAATATGATGAAACTCCTGCCCTCCTTGCATAGGAGCTATTGGGGTGCACAAGAGCCAGGAGCTGCACTCGACGCAGTGGTTTTAGGGGACTGCCCGAGGTGAATACAACTGTCGAGGGTGTAATCACACCCGAGTGCGGTAAACAAGCTACAACAATGTACGTGTACTCCACATCTGTCATGTCTGTAGTTGCGTCACTCGCCGTATTTTCAGTGACTTTTGTTTTCCGAGACGAGCGGTTCTCCTTGGCCGGCCGCTTCACCTTCACGTACATGTACTGCCGCACAGTCGTGCATTCCCTCATGAGGTTCGTGAGCGCGGCGAAAATCCAAGGTTTGGGGGCACCCTCAGAAATAGGAAGAAGATGGATTTTCTCCACCGCTGTCCGGACTGCGGGCGTGCAGCCATTATTGCTGGCGGCGCTGCAGGTTGGCTCTGACTCTCTCTGCATTTCAACAACCGAGGGGGCAGCCGCACCTGTATGTAAGGCTGTTACAGCTTCCTGGCCAAAATGATCATCGCAAGTGTGACAAGTAGGTGCACTTTCGGTATTCTCAGGAGTAACATATGTGTTCTGTGTTTCTACGGCTGCCGGAACGGGACAAGAACACTCAGGGCCAGACATGACTGCTGCCAACAGGCGTTCTCTAGATTCTGCCGCCGCTGTGCGGAGGCGGACACGGGGAGAGCAGGGGCCGCCCAAAGAAGCGCTTAATGAACAGCCCCAAATCTAGTCACAAAAAGAGCTACTTTTACTCCTGGAGGCGTCCGCTGGTTCGGTCGCCACCCTCTCGCAGTCTCGCCACTGTCTTTACGCTTGGGATATAAGCAGTGCCAAATCCTATTCAAATTATGGAGATATATACGCAGAATGTTCAGAGAAATCGGAATCCAGCCAAAAATGTGAAATACAATGAGGGGGCCGCGTGGATACGGTGAAGGAAGAGAGTGCAATTCAAAACTCGCGTCTCCCCCTCTCTTGCCCCAAGCAGAAAAAGATACTTCTGTACAGATGACAAAGTCCTACTCCATCGAGAAAAATTAACTGCTGCAACCGGGTCACCTGCAGCGGACGCACACTGGAGGGTAGCCAGGCGCGGCAACATGCGTCACGAGCACTGCTTGCTACATGAACATGAATCCCGAACATTTGAAAAAAGCAACCGGCTATACTTACTTACTTGCAACAAGCTGAATGCGAGTAGTGGCTTCTTTGAGGATACTTCACATGCAGTAAATTTTATGTTGCAGTTACCATACATGCGCTAAGCGGCGAGTAGACCGGTTGCCGGATGGCATAATGCAGTATTCTCTTCAAACTACTTGCTTCTTCCTTTCTTTGCTTCAAACGACTAGTGTAGAAAGCCAGGGAATTCAGTGATATGGTTTTGCCGAGGTTCGTAATAAGCTTTGGTGTGATAAATGTTTGCTTGTGTTTTGTTAAGGTGGCGCATACCGTATAACTAGACACTCGGACCTAGCAAAATGCTGCTTTTCCTTTTAGCGTTTTCTTTTAGAGGCATTCATTTGCGCTCCCTTAGCAGCCCTGACATGCGGCGAGGTCTTTGGTGTTCTACGTAGACGAGCCCACAGGCTATGATCAGTCTGTACCTTGGTGGTTCTGTACCTGCCGTTTCCTATATGCACGTTGACCTTGAACTCAAAGAGTAACCTTGCTTAAGCATATGAGTGGATCACCTTTGAATCGCTCTGCTTCATGGTAAACAATAGAGGCACGCATCCTCGGAGAACGCTAGTCCCTCAACATACGCGGCAAGCCTAAAAGAAATGCTGACTACAGGACACATTTCTATGCCAGAGTTAAAATACTCCACAAAAATAAAACACATGAGCAGAGAAATCAGTTGCTTAATTCCTTGTTGTTAGTTGGATATACCTTGTGTAGTAAAATGCTGAAGAGTAGCCTGGCCCACTGCAGTGCCAGTAAGCGCATCACAGCTTTTGGCAGAAATAAATGAGCAAAGTTCGATAAGTTCCACCTAAACACTTTTTACTACACTAGTTATATTGACTAAGAATCAATAAGGCATTGTGTAATTGGTTTACCTGTTCGTATATCTTATTTACTGCCTTAGCTCGATATACGAAAAAGCGATGTTGTGTGCATGTATGCCAGACCTTATGTGCAACTAGCTGTGAATGCTCGGAGTTTTTAGAGGTTGCACTTACGCTCACCCTGCTCGTCCCTCTCCCCTCATGCCGAGTAACCTGAGGGGCGCGGAGAGGGGCAGGAGGAGATTCTTTCGGGAAACAATCAATTAATCTCTATTACGTTTGCATCAAGTCCGGAATTAAGCGCCGCTCTAACGGGCTCCTTCAATGGAATGTTACAAAAAGGCTGAAAGAGGAGCTACTGAAAATTTCTCTTAAGCCACGAGGATGATTTCCACAAGGGTCAGTGTGTGGAAAGAGCAACCCTCATGGGCATGATACCTCCTGTTCAGCAGTATCAACGTGCCACGGAAGGCAGTCTCGACAGTGCACTTGAAGCCAGAGTGACAAATGCAAAACGTGTCGACCCAAAATTCCAATACAGAGCTAATGAAGCCGAAAAATTGAGCCATAGAATTAGAAAGACAGAGCTAAAAGCGATAAAGACGAAGCGATGGCTACAGAGGAATCTCACAGAAAATTAGACCCGTCCTTCTGCGCCCTCAAGTGTTCCTCTTCAAGTGCAATAGGCGGAACTTCAAGTTTTCGCTCGGCAAACGTCGTTGGAGTAAAGGAAGAGGAATGCTGTGAAATATCATGACATCAACGAGAATAACAGCAAGTTAACAACAAAGACATGAGATGAAATTAACAGCAACCAAACGAACGGCGAATACCGTCAATCATTTACAGCACTACACATCACACTTCTAAGAGCCAAAACTGTTTTCAGTCAATAATTACTAGTATATGAAAGCACAGCAATGAAAAGGAAGGCCTGAAGCAATGCAGACTATGGTGCACCATCTAAATACGAAGGCTGAAGTCCCAGGCAGACGCCAAGTCTACCAGTACTCCTAGACTCACATAGACGCAGTCTAGGGAGTATGTCGTCCGTTCAAACGCATGCATAAAATTCGGTGGCAGTGGTGGTCTGTTCCATTGCCTGCGACCCTCGAAGATCTTAAGAAGCATCTGAGCAGTGCTACGTGCCGCCTGGGAGGCATTAGCGGGGGGCTTCCACATGCAAACTCTGACGTCTGCGCGGGTCACGTCATTCAGGTCAATGAGGGGTCTGGAGGGCTCTACCATCCCTGCCGTATCATAGGTTATATCTTTGTCCTTCTCAAGGGCCTGGCAGGTATACGCAACGCATTGGAAAAGAGCTCTCGTCTGCGCGTTCCTCGGTAGAAGTTCTTTTAGCAAAAGGAAGGCCCACGAAAGAAAAACAATAAGCTGGAAATATAGATTGGCCAGCCACAAAAGCACTTTTCGTTGTCTGCATGACTAACCGTTTCTTTAGGGACATTCAGTACTTCCTTCAAAGCATTATTAAAATGAGGAATAAGGCATTCCCGCCTATTGATAAAATTTTGCAATTCCTTTGTTTTTCTCTCTAGTGCACTCTCCCTGCACGCACAGACGAAGAAAGGACCTGCTTGCACCCTTGTGCTTTGCTGCACACAGCCCAAAAGACTCGTTTCCAGACGCACTACACCCTTCCAACATAGAAGGGGAATATGAAGAAACAGAGGAGTTACGGGTAACTGAACAGGCAATTTACTTTTATTCATCAGAATCTGCAAACAGGCCAGGAAGCGAAAGACAGACGCCTAGTAGGTGGGATAATGCACAAGAGAAGGTAGGGCAAGAGAGCGAATTCAGGGAGATCATCTAACCTCTCTTCCGGCTGCTCCAGTGGTGGCATTTCTGCATTCTGACTCTCCGTGTCGTCTACAGGCTCCGGCTCTGGCGCGGCCCATGGCGCTTCTATGTGCAGTTTCTTCATTTCCTCCCAGAATTCAATTGCATCCCCCCCGGCAAACCAATCGCCAGATCCTAGTGGCTGAGGGGGCTGGGGCACGCGGTATACGGGCCGCCGACAGCGCAAGAAACTCGACTCGTTGAACCCTCCTAGCGTATGTAGAATGAAGGGTCTGAATATGGCAAGGCACCTTGTCGCCGAGGAATAGCTAGCGCCGATTGACATATGGATTGTAGCCCAGAAGAGAAAACGAATCGGTAACAAGAAGCAGCAATTAGGCGTCGCTGGACGCAAAGTGCGGGGTATGCAAAGAAACAGTTGCGAATGCGACGAAAGGGCCACAAACGGCGAGCCTTACCCGTCCGGTTGGATTTCCTGGACAAGCGCCGTGTCATCTTCTATGCTCACAATGCGGCAGTCTGCCTGCAGTGCCGGCCTATAATCCCAAGGCCACACGAAGCGACCGGTAAAAGATCATCCGGTGGATGCCACTCAACAAGCAGGAGGACGCCGGTAGGGATACCTCCAAGGTGTGAGGCCAAGTGCGAAGCGAAAATTAACGGTAAAAATGACACCAAAAAACGTCGTTCAGTCTTATATCCATTAGACACCTCCCTTAATAATAAAGCAGCAAGGCGTCAGGCAAACGGAACACTTTCTTTTGCGCCTTCTCTAGCGAATGCGTCACAGTGTCCCAACTACTAAACGTACCTGAAGAGTTCCCATACGAGGTCCTTCGCAAAATTAAGCTTGAAGAGGATAATTTTATAGATGAGCCAAGGGCAATATGCCCTCAAGACTTCCCCCACATCTCCGAGAAGCCGGTGTGTCGAATACGCAGCGACGTCCAGTTGAGACAAACCGCTAAAATCCAGTACGACCGCAACTGAGGCAACATCAGCAGCAAACACCAGCCCATAGTAGACATTCTCAATGTACACATACAGGTAAGAACTACAGGTGGATATTGCTTGCACGATGACATAGGCCTATCCGGACACCTAAACGGTTTGCCACCAACCATTTTCGTAGCACATGCATTAGGCCGCCTCAGTGTGTAACCCACTTGCCCACTCAGAAATGAAAGCACTTGACTCTTCCTAGTAAAACGTGCTTGACTGTGATATTACGAAGAAGGGAGCGGCAGAAGCCTAATGCAGAGGGAAAGTGGGAATCAGACTTTCGCTTAGGTGCCGTGTAGCATACCGTGTGAAATTTTTTCAGTGTGGCGCCGGGAGGCAACAGCCAGTTTCTGCCACACGCCGTTAAATACCCTAAGCAAAATCCGCTGCATCTCTGCTGGTGTAATTTGCAGATAGAGGCTTGTGGGAAAGAGGCTGGCGAGCTGTATATACACGGCAGGATGCTTGCCGTCGGCTGAACGGTACGCCAGCGCACCCCCCAGACTTGACTCCATTTCCAGCGAAGCATCTGATGAAGAGCCTTTTGAAAAGCGTGCACCGTGCTCCTCCACTTCTTCCAGCACCTTCCGGAGCATGGCAAGCCGAGCCAGTGACCTGCATGCCTCCTTTCGTGAGGACATGTCGGGGTTCCGGGAGAGTCTGCCATTCCGGAGGTAGAGCAATCGTCGCATATCTTCCAGCACATACGATGCACAGTTGTTACTCAAAGTTCCAATGAGAAAGGCGAACTTGGCCAGCTTAGCGTCGTAAGCTGCGCACCACACAATGGAAAGCGCCAAAGGGCATTCTTCAGTCTGATGGGGCAGCAAAACTGTTACGTCTGCCAGCGGCTAGCTAGAAGAAATGCAGAATAATCACGGCGCCATGTGATTAGAAGTGTCTTGACCTCTGGAAAGCACCGGCTGCTAGGGGTGTGGAGGCAGGTCCGGATGAGCGGCATGTCCAGGAGAATGTAGCTCACGCGCGAAAAGGTCAGCTGTTTCAAAGGTTTGGGGTTGTTCATACTCTTTCTTTGGAATCTCTTCTATAAATATGCTGCCGGAGGCACGCATCCGACCTTTAACCCTTGTTTTGCTCCCGCCTTTTGTCTTCACAGCGCCTTTTATTCTAAGAGAAGAAGACACTTTATGCTCCTGTGTTTCGGGGAAGAGGCCGTCATAGGCCCCTCCAAATGATTCTTCAGCCAATTCGGGGTCTTGTACTGCAGGGGAGGAGAAGGCGGCCCTACTATTTACACTCTCTTCGGCGTCCCCGGCATTCAACTTACCCTTGAACACCAGGCTCCCCTGCACTACACGGGGCCACTTTCCACGCGTCAGACCGTCCTGTCCATTAACTCTGGCAGAATCGGCCTCCTGAAGCCCACGTTCATCTGCTGTCACACAGCCAAACTTGCTTCGGCGCTGCCGACCGCCAGCGTCGGTCATGCGTTCCCTCACCATCTTCTGCAAGTGGGGCAACAGGGAATGAGCGAGCTACAGCCTAGCCGGGAGGTGCTAGATATGCAGAATGTAAGAAAACCAGCTAATAATGAGGCACTGAGTAGACTAGATGATCATGGAAGGGAAAACATCGCGTGTTACGCCCATCCTTGCCGTGGCCATGGATCCCAAAAGTACCTGCTGGAGAATCTGTTATTTTGAATGACAGGAAAGGACAAGAAGAAGTGGATGGCCCTTTGAGCCATGCCAATGGGTAGGAGGTTTTCGCGAGAGAAATGCAGAAAAAGCAGAGCTCTGGGGCCCGTCTTCCATTGAACAGCTCGACACTGGCACTGCCGAACCGTCAGAGTATCTCAGGTGTTCTTCGTGCCAAGCCCGCCTTTTCCTTCTGCTCCTTCAATGATTTCCAGGTTGCTTTGTTATTATATAAGCAGTAAAGATTCGAAGTCTCTTGTAGAGGGCTCTTGCTGCTTAGAAAGCTAAACCCACTGCCACATGGGCGCGCAGTCACAATCGAAAGGAAGTTGCCAGACAGTGCATAGCTAGTGGATTCATTGAAAAACTACATTAATACTGCACATAGATGTGTTATAATACACAGTGGTGCAGTTATGGTGTGTTATATGGAGGGATATTGCTCTGCGCAGCTGTGGATTCTGGCGTGCGGCTAGTCACTGCACATTCAACGTTAGCACAAACCGTTGGGGTTTTAGCTGATGTAAAGGAAGCCAGCTTTTCTGGAGAGTGTTGCGTCAAATGAGGAGAGAGTACCGTGGACATTCTCTTTTCGTGCAGCTCTCCTAATCTTCCACGGGGAGCCTTACTCCATTTCTTGTTACAACTATAAAAAATCCTGGATCCACGCACACAGGAATATATCCGCTACACCAGAGGCAATTCTGATTATCTTGTACATTAAATTGAGAATTAGTTAAAACTTGCCACCGGAGATAACCCATTGCCTGCCCTACGTGCTCAGCATTCCAAGTAAATGCCCTACATGTTGGCATCACCGCCATGGCCTGTACTTTAGAGGTTATGGCGGTTCATATTTACACGGACAAGCAGCCACATCCTTGTGAGAAATTTCCGATACCTTTGCAGCAGTGGCACCCCAATGAGCACTACAGTTAGACAAAGTAGAAGCTCTTACCTTGACTCCTATCGCCTACTCTCGCCGCATATAACCACCTTTCTCCTGATAGAGTTATCTATAGCTATTCGGTTCCGCGAAACATGAAATGGCGTATGCTGAAAGGCTTATGGACTGGACGGAAAGCACTCTCGAGTACCGAACCCTAATGACCCATTCCAATTTGCACTTCCCCTCAAGTCAAAATTATTATTTATTAGCTCCTACACTACATGCAAAGACAATTGGTTCAGGCAGTGTACATGCTAGCACTCAAAAACTTTTAGCGCAGAGGATAAAGAGACCTGGAACCCTACACAGATAATAGAGCAAATCTAATGAAACAAAGATTGTTGTGCCTGCCAAAATTCCCTGCAAGGCTCAGATTTGCACCAACGCGATTCTGCACCTCGAAAGAGTTGAACCGAATACATTAAAGCTTTGGATCTCGGATTACCTTTGTATAGGGGCTGCTTGCATTGAGGCAGGGCTGCATTCTGCCTTGAAATTAGCCTACGGAATTAGGGAATGTCAAAGAAAGATAGAATAATTGGCTCACCAAAGCCACAAACCCGTTATCCTAAATCAATCTCTTGATGGCATTCAGCAATGGAAATTGGTCGCGAACGCTTCTTTTTGCTTCTGTACTAACGCTCTCGTGTTTTCTCACTCTACTGCAGGTACGACGCCTACAGGTGCTCCAATATGGATGAATCAGCTTTGAAGCTAGATCCTAAATTGTAAGTCCAGCTAGACACCATATATTCCCCTTCTCGTTGAGTGCATGAATATATGACCATGCAAAAGGCTTTTGGAATTTGCTTAGAGCCTAAAAGATCATTTAAGATCCCTGTACATCTAGGGAGAAGATAATCCTGCACCTGCATCTCTTTAACATTATTAGAAACATCAATACTCTTTGCTACACCAGGTCCTGTTGCAGCGTTTCCCTTGGAGTAGTTTTGAGAGCTCCTAAACTCGCAAGCAAGGCATGAAGTTCATTTCAAAAAACGAGTGGGCTCGCTTACGCTAGCTACGAGCCTAGGCAATGAGTACTGAGCTGGCAGGGACATTGAGCAAAGTGGACAGCTGCTATCTCGGCAGTGCACGCAGGTTTATGTGTGCATTGCTAAGTACATGCGCGCCTAGTGGATTATATACTAACCATTCCTTTTCCATCTCTTCTTGTATCTACATTTCCTAGTCTAGCGCTTTTTGGCTGAACTAAATGAAATCGGAGATGTCATCCCGTTTCTACCACTGTTGCTGCTTTTTTATGTATGTATGATAGTTCACTGCGTTGGTCCATTCTTAATTTCAAGTATGTTCGCTCCGGTAAGCCGCCATTTTAGGGTACTGGTCACCGAATTGGAAAAATGGCGATTGGAAACCTCGAATCCAATACAATGTATTACAACTCAAGCAAGAGAAGGTCAGCTTTATTGTGCGCTGCATGTTAATGCTCTCTATGTTGTTTTCCCCTATAAAATCTTGCAGCAGCTACCAGTCACGAGGCAAATATGAGAGCAGACGTAATACAGTACCCGCTAGCGCTGCACTCTCGGATCGATCTCGTGAACCTATCTTGTACTCGAATTCAGTATTCTCTACCTCCAGCAGGCTGCAGAATGAGGGAGAGACACTAGCAACAAAAGGTGAGGCAATTTGAAGAACACCTACATGGAATGGCTTAAATACAGTAGAGATATCATATCAAGCTTGCAGTACCCTCAGTTCAAAAGCAGAAAATGGATTAGGAGTTAACTACTCTCCTCGGCTCACAATGCCACTACACTTTCTGATAACACCACTTCCTTGAGTAGCGCTGCAGGACATAACAAGGTCTCCACGAAAAATTTCTTTTTTTTGATACATGAAAGACCATGCATATATGGGGTTAAAAGGTCCATACACTCACAGCTAGGAGTGAAAGCTACTTTCGTTGCTGATGTGTCCTGGTCACCCTACAAAGTATAAGGTGACTCCCTAAGGTGCCTTTAAATCACTTCAATAATATAAAAAAGCCAAGAGAGACTTGAGACATGGCTTAATTTGGGGACTTTGCCGAACCCAAGCCAAGAGGTATCGAATCTTTCCGGTGCGGTATCACAATTTTTCATAGGTGCTTGCTTACACATCACCCTCCAAAGCCTAGAAGTTAATGATTATGTAGAACCAAAATAGGAAGAGTCGTTTACGGAAATTTTCTAAATCCTCAGCGGGTTTAACTGATGTGACGATCCTTCCTTTTTTGGTAGTTGCCTACAGTCCCCAGTTTATTGAAAGCCATTTCTTTGTACTATCCACTGGGTTAAAATTCAGCTGAAATCAAATTGTCCTAAATTTCATGTTAGCAGCGCTTTGGTGCCACGAGCAGATATCCTCAAAGTGGCTTTCGTCAATAGCGTGAGACGGATGAGTGCATAAAGCAAAACGCAAATCCATGCACAGTGTGAACAGCTTGCATGTTAAAATTTTTTCAGACAACCAGTGACCTTGGAAGTAGAGGCGCGGATTACTGGCTTGCTGGGATATCGTCGTTGGCTACTCTGCTCTGTGAAACGTCTAGAAGAGGAAAGCCATAAAACCCCTCTGGGTTTAGCCGGATTGATGTAAACGACACGTAAAATACAAGTCGCGATCTAGCCGTTGAAACATCTTCCAACAAGAGCTTAAAGTACCGTGTTTCCTTCGCAAAGCAAGGAATAGTGAACCAGAAGTGGCCGCCCGATGAAATGAGAGAACGTCGGGGGGAGAGCAGTTATTTCTAGTGTTGCTGGAGGATTATTTGTACTCATGGTACCTTGAATGTGATGCACGGCTTTCCAGGACCAACGGCACAAAGAGGAAACAGCAGCAATTGCAACAGCGGAAGTAAAGGAGGTAGCAGAAGGCAGAATAATGAATCTTCCTAGTTTCTGTGCAAACTTTCATGTGTTCCTGTAGGGCAGGCGTCAAGGCACGACATACATCTGCATCATACCACAGTCGCACTTCGCCGATGTTGAGAAGCGCTAGGATACAGCATCTGGAGAGAATAATTTTGAAGACATGCGGCTGTGCTGCATGGCTTGCGATAACATAGGAGAAACGCATGGTATTTCTGGCTGGAAAGAGATGGAGTGTGCCACAGACCTTACACGATGCAATATGCAGGGCCCCACGACCGTCTACACAATTGCTGGTGGACGGCTAAGCTAGAATTGGGCACGAAGACCTTTGGGTTGTTTTCTCCTTGCCTTTGCAGGCGAGACTGGGTGACCACTGACACTGTTAAAAGTGTATATATGCCTAGCTATCCCATTAATGCATGTTAAGGCATCCCCACCTAAACTTGATATGAAGCGCCTCTACGTACATAATCAAATTTGTCAGCGTGACCTTGTCCAGCCAAATAAATGAATAACTTCGTCTCTACTGTCCTTTTTGATGCCTTTAAGATGATGGCATTCAGGGAATGAAACCCCCCAGGCACTCCCCGTACGTGGTGACTCGTTCGGCACCATGCAGCACTAAGCCCTTAATTAGCGCGATTTTTTGTTCGAGCAAAAAATTGTGTTGGTTTTCCTGAAGATCGTTTGCCTCTTCGCTCTTGCCCTTCTGCACAGTTCAGGTGTTTGATTTATCGGGGTAAGGCGGTTGAGCAAATATACCTTCTCGGATCTGTGTCTGTTGTTTGGAAACTTCATGGTAGTTGCGATATCTTTTGCGGGCATAGACGTGCGTCTGTGTGTGGCCCAGCTTGAAAAGAGCACACTGTTGTTTGGGAGCGTGAGCCTCTCCGGCTCATGAAGTGCTCCATCGTTCGTATGAACGCAGTCCATTCCTTGAAAAAGTCTGGTGAGTCGATCTACGAGGACTCGCCCTG